AAGAAAAAACGTTTGTAGCAAATTTTCATATTAATCAATTACACATTGCTACATGAACTGATATACCAAGGAGTAATGAAAACGCTTAATGATATAACACTTAATTAAAAAATGTGCAAGAAAATTGACAATACGATTTTATGTCTGCAAACAATAAAGTTGACGTATTTATACAAACAGTCAGCATACAGTAATAAGAATGATAATAATTATTTTCAAAAACACTATTACTCAGTATATAAACAGCGTATTATTGCCTCATAAGAGAAAAAAACATTCACAGTGACTAGAATTTAGGAACGTTGAATTCCTTTTGTAAAAATACATAATTTTAATATCCTAATTTGCTGTGATACACGCATATCTAGATAATGTTCCGTAAGATAGATGTAAATACTGCTTCTTTCTTTAAAAAGGTTTAACGTTCGTTCTTTTAACGAGCACGAAAATTTAATATTATTTAGTAAGATTATTAAAAAAAGCCATGCTAAAATAGCAAAAAAAAGTGCCATTACTACATGTAGTACTTTTAATCTAACAGAATTCATTCAAATTGCGCGTGCATCAGTTCAAGAAAAAAAATCGAAGAGAACTCAATTGCTGAAGTAGGGGGTCAACTTTCATATAAAGGAAATATTGCGTGAAATTGAGATTAGATATTTAATTGTCTCAAAACTTATTGCTAATTCAACAAATATGTAGCTGTCCTTTTGAATGTGTGAAATATAATGACACAATGAAAATCATCTAAAGTGAAATTGAATTAAAATGTTAGCAGATTTTTCTTATTCCACAAGCTAATCAAATAGAAGCTGAATTTTTTTTTTCATGTTTCATAGTGTTATTTGTACATTTTTTTTAGAATGAATAATGATGATATGCAATTGGAACAATCTATTTCAAAGGTGCTTGGACGCAGATTTGAAGTTAATATTTACTCAAATTTTCTGTATAATTTCATGACTTATATGTTGCTATAGCATTTCATACGAAATTTGATAAAAATCTTATTTTATCTGGAAGTTATTGAAACTTTGAATTTCTGGACGCGTTTGATAGACACATCCTTGCACTTTCACAAATTTTAACTTTATCCTTATTACTTTAGAAAAGTAGCAATTTTGTTGTTTATAAATGAAAAATACTAAAACTGTAATGCAGAAATTTCAGAGTAGAAATGTAGAAAGCAAAATCCTCTCACCAGTATTGTCAGTCCGTGCTCAGTGGTGTGTGCAGAGTTTCACAATTGAACACACCCGGTGAAACGTAAACATTAACAACAACAGAGCTTGTGCCCTGTTTACAACAACAGTTTACGTTTCACGGGTGTATTCAATTTGTTAAACTCTGTATACAACAACACAACATTGAGCACGGGCTGACAATACTTAAGTGAGGTGGGTTTTGCTTTCGCACATTTTTACTCTGAATTTTCTGGATTATAGATGTAATATTATTCATTAATACACAATAAAATTGCTACTTTTCTTAAGTATTAAGGATAAAGTTAAAAATTGTGAAAGTGCAAGGATGTGTTAATCAAACGCCTCCCGAAATTCGTAGTTTCAATAAATTCCAGATTAAATAAGTTTTTAATTTTATTTTCGAGTGAAATGCTATTGCAACATATAAGTTGTGATATTATACAGAAAATATGAGAAAATATAAACTTCAAATCCGTGTCTAAGCACCTTTAAATCGAGTGATATCTTCTCGTTTAACCCCTTTTCTGTGAAATTACATAGTTCACAGCAAAAGCTACAGTGTTTAGTTGGAAAACTCTCTCTCTCGCTCTCTTTCTTGATGATAGATCTTTCTTACTTGATCTCTCAAAGCTATTAGAGCCTTCTGAACATATAATATTTGTACAATTGTAAATATTGATGTACTTTACAACATAAGTCATTTTTCAATTAAAAAAAATCACCATGTGGGTATACATGTATCCTACATTGCCATTCTGAAATAGAACTATATTTCTTACAAACATATCAGCAAATACAACCTATCATTAAGTCAAATGCTAAATAACATTTTTTATACTAGTTGTTAGGCCATTATTTACACACTGAAATGTCTACGGATTTTCCCGTTTTTTCCCGATCATGACAAGGAGCACACGGCGGGTGTGACCGGTCGGCAGAGGATGCTCACTCCTCCATAGCACCTGATCCTACATCTGAGGTTTTCGGAGGTCCGGGTTTGCTCTGCTCCCGATTTGTATTGTTTTTAATGGACTTTGAGCTCATGGCCGTAGGAACCGGGGGGGCACGGGGGGGCCGTGCCCCCCCCCCCCAATAATTTTGCCAATATATAGATTACTATAGTAAACATAGATACTATAAGCATGTGCCCCCTTCAATAAAGCCGCCTGATGACCTTTTTTTTTTGCTTGTCAAGGAATATTTGGTAGTTGACGACCTTTTTTTTTTTTTTGCTTGTCAGAAAATTTTTGGTAGTGCCCCCTCAACTGTCAACTGAAAAATGTTTGGCTGTGCCCCCCAAACTGAAATTGCTTCCTACGGGCCTGGAGCTTGAATACTGTTCGTTATCTCCATATTTCATATAACTATGGTATGTGTTTTTCATTCCAGTAAAAAGGTTTCCAAAACATTTGACATAAATTGCGCAGGTCCCTCCGACATAGATAAACAAAAAATCACTTAAGGTACGTGTATGTCACTCGTGAGTTTGAGAAAGTCTGGTCAGAACCTCTAACTTCAAAATCATTTATTACAATTCATTTTATGACATACCGGTATTTGAATTAAACAATGCAAATTATATGATATTCAATTTAAAAACTGTTAACAGAATTGTAAAGAAAAAAGATTTATGGGGGGACTATTTCTTGTGTTGGAAGGATATTTAGATCAACGTAAATATTTAGGCATACCAAGTATTACATAATTTTCCCTACAAAAAATTGTTTGAAAATAAATATAAGCACGCAATTTGGGAAAGCTAAAAATCTCATTGCCCCAAAGGTTTGAGTAATAATTGTGAATTTTTGATTGAACCATATTTATATCTACTACGAGCTTTGACACAAAATAATAATCCAGTTCAAATGATTGACATTCCCACACGTGCATGTTTTTTGAACTGTGATTATAATTAATATTGTAAATAAAAGAATTTTTACAATGATAAATAAATAAAATGACAAGTGAAGTAATAAATAAATAATAAATAAATGCAATATAAATATAGTCACCCTTCTTGATGACACAGCTGCAAAATTAATAGTATATCATACCAAGAATATACTTATCAGCAGGTAAGCCAGGGGACCTTTAGTTTAAATGTAAATAAAATAACCCATTTAATTACGTCTATACACAATTTTTGCATCGTCTCTGAGACCACTCATAGTATATCCTGTTACGCCGTTTGCTATGAGCAGTACACTACTCATGTCTCACACTGGTTAATGAATCATAAGAAAGGGGGGCACTGTAACCTGTTTATTGGGCGATGAATATATAGCATTAAAGTCAGATTCAACATCTTTATCAGTTTTCCTCTCGAAAATACATGCTTACATATGAGATAAATCATTGTTGAAGTTTAAACAGTTATAGGGGAAACACTGTAAATTTTCCTTTTTATTTATATATTTTAGCTGGGGTCAGATCCTCCTCATGCCCTTTCGATGTCCTGCGTGCACTTCTAGAGCTGCATGACCGTAACTTAAATAAAACGGATATAAAATTCTGGGTTCATGTGGTCGAGGGTGATTTTCTGGAGGTAAAATGCAGTTTTTCTAAATATTTGCAAAATATTGATTGTGCAATTTTTAATCTGTTTTGTGAAAAAATAAAACCATGTATATGTGGGTACTTTTCGAATAAGCATGACATTCGTGCATATTCGCTATAAAGATAACTTGGTTTTTCAAATATATTTCTTAAATTCAGAAGACGTGATTGAATATTTAGATTTAGTGCAAAATCTACGGACGTTTAGCAGTAAACATATGCATCCTCGGCCATATGAACCCAGAATTTTATATCCGTTTCATGGTGATAGGAACGGGGGGGGGGTTATATTGTATATACTATAAACAAAGCTACTTTATACTTGTGCCCCCCTCCATAATAACGTATATGATGACCTTTTTTCCCTTTTTGCTTGTCAAGGAATTTTCACTTCCCGGCCCCAAACTGAAAATATTTGGTTGTGTTCCCCTTCCCAAACTGAAATTGCTTCCTATGGCAGGTCCGTAGAACGCAAGGGGGGGGGGGGCAGGGGGCCCGGTCCCCCACTTTTTGACTTTAATATTTTGCTATAGTAAATTTTCCTTTAGATGCTGTTTGCCCCCCCTCCCCCCTCCCACACACACACACTTTTTGGTGCTTTAAGGTCTAGCACTGGCAAATTCCAGGATTTGGACAGTTAATTAGGTTTCTTTTTGCTTGTCAGATTATTTTGGGAAGTCCCCCCCCCCACTTTTGAAACTGTTGCTACGGGCATGTATGGGCCTGCGTGTTTGTCTGTACGAACCTGTTTTTTTTTATCCGATTTTATTACGCTACTGTCGTAGAAAGATATAATAGAACATATCAAGTATATAATGCATTTACATTATAACATGTTCACATTCTATATTTGTTTATATAAGATTCTTTATTTGAATATATGATTAGTGTTAAATCATTTGAAGACATAGGCCTATCAGAATATGTACTAACTAGACTTTTTAGTTTAAAAAAAATATTTATAGAAAATGAAAATATGGCACATTGAATGTGCCATGTTTTCTAAACAATTTCTATTCATGACCTTAAAAGGAATTGTAAGTGTGTTCAACTTGTCCAGAAATTTAATAAAACAAATCAAAGTCACATTATTATTTGTCAGGATATAAACAACTTTGGATCACGTTTTGAGTCTATATTTAAATATCCAACAATAGAGAATTTAAAAAGTAGTTGTTGGTCGCATGAATCAGTGTGTTGAACGGTTTCCTTTTACCTGTTAAACTACGTCACACAGGTAAGTCATCGATGACCAATCTAAAAATAGATCGATCACATTAAAGGTAAAATACCAATCCATGAATCTTTAGTATACACACGCAAGAAGAAGTTTACGGCTGTAAACTAGGAAGTGATACAGATAATACAGAAAAAGCAATTAAGTTACCGAGATGGAGAAAGGTAGACCTGGTGTTACCGAGGATCTAGCCACCCTCGCCAACCTCGACGGCAAGGTGTTACTGAACGAACTCAAAGTGCGATACATGGAAAACAATATCTATGTAAGTAAACATTGTGACATAAACCGGTTCAGTCTGTGCTTTCAGATTCTCAGTGCTGATATTCTCAGCTGGATTGATTTTTTTTTTTTTGCGATACTCTGTCTACATGTAGATGTTAAATTTGATAAGGGCGTGACATTTTTTTTATTATTATGAAATGTATCAGGTTATTCTTGCTCCACAGTAGACCCCTAATGAAAAGAAACCAGCAGATTACAGCGAACATTTAAATAATCCACCAGTGCATGACAATGACACGGTCGTCTTGCATTAAATATCCTTTCCTTTTAGAAATTCATCACACAATTTTTTTTTTAAATTTAGTTACTTTACATCTAGTTCAGTATACGGATCGTTATCGCTTCTGTAATCATCTACACAATGCACTTGTTGTATGTTCGTATCAGGGTAAACACGGTGCACTTACTTTTTTATAAAAAAAAAAAAAATATTTAGGAAGTACCTGCATGTAATATTACAACCTTGGCCTCGGTAAAATGGAATAGATTGAGCGACAATTTGTTGAACATGTGCAAATATAGAACTATTTGAACATGTTCAAAGGCAGTTGTAGTATGAACCTCTCTATACATACCACCTCCTACTGGGGCATTGAACACAACACACTAAATAAATTTATATAAATAAATTTATAAAAATCATTTGCATTTGGGAAAAATAGCATTTTAAATATAAAATTACTAACGGAAATTTAACACACATCCCCCTCCCTCGATCTGGAATTATTTTGAATTCCTGATCTCTAGATATGTATCGTGCATTTGCTAGCTATACGCATATAATAGTATTCAGTACTCGGTTTTTCTGTTCAGTGCGACCCGTAGATTTGGCGGGTGAATGTCATTTGCAAAAAAGACATAAGGCTAGGCATTTTATTTATTTTTTCAAAACATGAAATTGAAATATAGTCTTCTTTGTAGACTTACGTTGGAGATATTCTTGTTGCGATCAACCCTTACAGACCACTACATATCTATGGAGAACAAGTAAGTGAACATGGTGAAGTGCATGTATATGCATTATGTATCCCCTACCACTGCCCCTACTACCCAAACTCCGTCACCATTAGCGGAAAATACGCCATGTTACTCTCTGAATTATTTCTTGAATTTAGATTCAATAGAAAATTTGTTTCCAGTTTAGTTTTTTTTTTTTTTTTGTCCCTTTTTCTTAAACTTGTAAACATAAGAGGTTGAATTTTAAAATATTAAATATTATTAAATCATATTTTAAGATAAGTATCAACAACATAAAAAAAACACCTCAATATAATATTTTTTTATATGGATAATGTTATCTCCAATGTGTAGTGCAGTGGGGGTATATGTAGACAAAAAATATTTTTAGCCTTATTCAATATAGTATGTCATGTTAAAACTTTGACATAGACCTTCATAAAAATGGCTGACATATGAAATTGAGCATGTTGACACACATGTCTGAGATATCCATGGAATAGCGCACAAAGAAAAAGGTGCTTACTGATTTCACATGAAATATGATAGACACAGTAGATTTAGTGTAATTGTTACTTATTTTTGGCTTTAACTTGACTGTTATAATTTCTCGGCAATTGATTGTAGATTTTCAGGATGCAGAAAATGACGTCACAATTGTACAATGTATTTGTTTACAAACAACCAGGAGTTTTCTGCAAGTGAAAGAGTTAGGGGGTTTGGCGATAAACTTGATAATTAAATTACTTGTTTTCATACAAGCTCAGAATCCTACATTAAAATCGAATGATGATTTCAGTTTTGTGTCTGTCAATAGCATGTGATGTACACACCAACCCACTGCCCACCCCACCCCATCCCACTCCAGTTTACAGAATTAAGATGTTAATGAAATGTTTTACTTTTTTATTCATCTGATTTTCAAATTTTAAAGAAATCTAGCATGCAGATTGTCTTTATATGTTTCCAGTCTATGCGTAAGACGTCGGACCTGACCGATGTGCAGTGCCTCTGGTCCGATGCATCATTTTTTACACCGGACCAGAATGTCCGATGTCTCAGCGTCCAGTTTTGAGCTTTACTATTTTGACGCGGAGTCATTCAAATGTTTATTATAAGTAAAAAAAAATATCGCACAAATCCAAATATGTAAATAAATTTATTAAAACTACATGGACCATCTACAGTAATAAGATTTCCTTGGTTCTGCATTTTCACGTATTTCACTTTTTTTACAAAAATTTTGACAAAATTTGGTTCGGTCCTTTGTGTTCATTGATTACACAGGACCGAATGTCCTGTGTGGTCCAAAAAACTTTCGCATAGACTGTGTTTCTGTAGACTACTATGCTAGAGCCACTGTAGAACCAGACAGATCAGTTGTCAATTTGATAATCCAATGTACAACAAATACATGACTGTACATGTACATGTAATGGGGGGGGGGGGCAAATAATGAACACCTTCTCCTATATTTTCTGAAAATATTTTTTGTGAATTTTATTTTTCTGTGTAATTTCTGAAAAGGAGGGGGGGGGGGTTCCTGCAAGTTTAAGGTCACTGGCAGAAAAAAGTATAAAATTCTTGTCCGATCTTTAACTCTGCAATGGAGAATCAATGGAAGCTCATACTTGGTAAAATAATTGTTGATGACCTGGGGGTGTGAGGACCATGACCCATATTTTCCAAATAGGGATGACGAGATATTGATAATATCGATTCTGTGTCAGGACAATAGGCATATCAATATATGAAGAAATATCAAAATATTGCGAAAAAAATTCTGAGATGTTTTACTTAAAGGTGTTTTTTGTTAATATCTGCACTTGTAGGAAACACAAAAATATTATTTGGAAAAGAAAAGTGCAAATCCTCCTCACATATTTGCAATTGCTGACTCCGCATATCAGTGTATGCTTGGATATGGTGGACGAATTCCTAGAAACCAGTGCATTCTTATCAGGTATGGGAATAGTTCATCACTTTTTAGAAAGATGTGAGAAAAAAAGATATATAAACATACAGTCTGTATATATATATATATATATATATATATATATATATATATATATATATATATATATATATATATATATATATATATATATATATATATATTAGGGATTTCAAAATATTTATTTTCCTTAGTCGATCATTCGATTGCATTATTCGAACGATAGTCGAATATTCGGAACATTTTCTGAAAATAAAATTTTATTTCATGCTTCATTGGTACATACTCAGAAACCTTTTTACTTAAATCTATTTAAAAAGTAACATCAAAATTAATGCATATGCATGGATTTGAAGAATAAAAACGTACATGTATTTACTCTGTCAGCAAATTTAGCGACTTTTGTTCAAAATTAAAACATAATTTTCGTATGTTTGAAATTGGGAAAAATATACTAGTAATTGGGGAAAAATAGCTAATTTTTGTGAGGGGAAACAGCCGAATATCGGTGGCATTTTGACCCAAAAAAAATCACTGACGTACATGGATAATCTACTGTTTTTTGTTGCGGAAAATTATCGACTGTCTATGAGAAAAGACTGTTTCTCATTTTTTGATGAGAATTCCATCTCATCTATCACTCATTTATTGCATTTATTTAGTTAAAATAATATTCGAATGTCGTTTCATTATTCGATCGTCGGTCCATTCGACTGATAGTCGAATAGTCGACTATTCGTTGACATCCCTAATATATATGTATATATACCTCGTGTGTGCAGTATAGACAAACATTTAAGGCATCATCATACCAGCAATTTTGCATGAAAACATACCCTCCATGCTTTAATGTCTTGAAAATAAAGTGAGTTGCTTTTGCTCTTTCCATCAAAAGAAAATAAACTTCTCTGTAATAGGTGTGTTTGAGAAACACCATGACAAACTAACACAAAATGAAGAAAGAAAATATAACATAATGAGTGGAAGGATTTGGGGCATCTTCACTAGCCAAGGGCGATGATCTTCTAAGATGAGGAGTGGATCATCACCCTTGGCTAGTGAAGATGATTTTGGGGATGAAGTGGCTGTATGATAATGATCTTGACCTCCTTCCCCTAATTTTCTTTTTTTCTTATTTAATTGAAGTCTGGATATCCTTAAGAATAGTTTATTATATATTGGGGAAAAAAGGACAAATTTTTTTTCTTTTCAGTTCTAAGTACAATACATGTATTATGACTCCTGATGTCTTTTATTTTAAACCAGTGGGGAAAGTGGAGCAGGTAAAACTGAAAGTACAAAGCTGATCATTAAACAGCTGATTGAGTTATGTCGGGGAAACACTCAACTAGAACAACAGATTCTACAGGTCAACCCATTATTGGAGGCATTTGGAAATGCTCGAACAGCCATGAATGATAATTCCAGTCGCTTTGGGAAATACATCCAGCTGTTATTTTGTGATGGGCATGGTATATAATTGATCTTGAATTGGGAAAAAAATGACATTAAATGCTTTTATACTTATATTCTTCGGTGTAATGAAATTTTTTAAATTGTGTGAACAGTGACTGGTGCCAAAATCTCAGAGTACCTATTGGAAAAATCCAGAGTGGTCCATCAAAACAGGGAGGAGGAAAACTTTCACATATTCTACTACATGTTTGGGGGATTATCTGCAGAGCAAAGAAAAGCATACAACTTACTACCACCTGAAAAACAAAGGTATTGTGGGATGCAATAAAATCTAAAAGCAAAAACATGCAACTAGTACACATGTATTATTCATGATCAGTTCTACATTTAATTGCACACACTGTTTTATTCCCCACCATGATCATTTTAACTCCTAAGGAGAGGAGAGTATACTGTTTTACCCTTGTGTGTCTGTCTGTGTGTGTGTGTCTGTCTGTCTGTCTGCCCATAACAAATTTTTTGTCGCAGTTTTCTCAGCAACTACTCATCATAGATGCTTGAAATTTTAACACACAATTTCTTTAGGTATGCTATATGCGGTGGGATTTATTTTTGTACGAATCCATGGTCAACTTCCTCTTTATCCATGCATCTGTCTGTACCATACATAACAAATTTTTGTCGCAGTTTTCTCAGCAACTACTCATCGCAGATGCTTGAAATTTTAGCACACTCTTTGTATAGGCATGCCATATGGTGGGATTCATTTTTGTATGAATCCGATGTCAACTTACTCTTTATCCGTGCGTCTGTCCATACCATGCATAACAAATTTTCGTGGCAGTTTTCTCAGCTACTACTCATTGCAGATGCATGAAATTTTGAAGAAAAAAAAAAGAATCTGATGTCAACTTCCTGTTCATCCCTGTGTCTGTCTGCAACTGAACTTGTGTATATTCACATCAGAGTGTATATTCACATCAGAGCGGGCGTATTACTAGTGAGCATTGGCTCACAGACTTCTTGTTTTTTCATAATCATTGTTTTTTTCACCATGATACTTGATATATATGTTATTCCAGGTACTTATCAAATGGGGCTAATTGTCTGAAACGAGAACCCACCCACTTTAAGAAGCAGTATGAGGAGTTGGTGAATGCCATGGACCTGGTGGGCTTTACAGATGAGGAAGAGGAGAATCTGTTCAGTATTATTGCAGGTGTCCTTCACCTGGGAAATGTGACCTTTGACATGGATGATAATGATGCATCTTTTGTAGAGGATGAAAATGGACCCATCAAAATGGCTGCAGTAAGTTGGTTTTTTTTTTAAAACTTTGTATTTGATGCAATGCTCATTTGGTGTAATTTGGTGTAATTTTAATGCCCTGTTCACACGGAGAATTTAATTCGCAGTAAATTAATGCAAATTAAATGATGCGAATTAAACTAATTGGAAATATAATTTTATTTCTACAACAAGGCTATTCAGTGAGGCTATTATGACGTCATATACAAATCATGTCATATTGTGCAGAGCAGATAAACATTTGACATAATGTCATGGTGTCTGTACACATTTTAGTGATTAACATAATTTTCCTTTGTTTTCCACTTGAAAATAGTACAAGTACCCATATTTGACCATTGACATGTGGCCTGTGACTTAATTCTGTCCTTACGCATGCGTCAAATTTAATTCGAATTAGCTTCGCTTAGCGTTGATAGGAGCTAATGCAAAGTAATTTAATGTGCAGTAAACTTATTCGAATTAAACTAATTCGCATTAAATTCTCCATGTGAACGCGGACCAAATCTAATTCGCAGTAATTTAAGTGTAATTTGAATTAAACTCTCCATGTGAACAGGGCACAAAGTTGGTAACAAGAAATCAGAAATAGAAGTAAAATAATTATAGTTTCATCTAATTGCAGAAAGTCCTTGGAATTGGAGGAGGGGAGTTGATTGGTACTCTGACAAATATGGTGACCTTCACAAGAGGAGAACAAGTCAAGCGGCACTACACAAAGGCTATGGCTGAAGGTACTTGTACATGCAAATAATGGCAGGTATTTTGTTCCCTGGAATTTGGAAAGGACAGGATTAAAAGAATCTTTATCTAAGGAATAATTATTATCTTAGAATTTTTTAACTGATTACAGACTTTCATATAGTTTGTGTGAGTGGTGTACACAAATCCATTCTTAAGCTTTTGAACATTATACATGTATATACTTTGTAAACAGAAATACAAGTTTAACTTTAGATGCAAGAGATGCCATGAGCAAGTCCCTGTATGGCAGATTGTTTGGATGGATTGTCAACAAAATCAACCAACTCCTGGCTCAAAGGGAACAGTCTGGCAATGAACCAAGAGAAATTGGTTTGTATAAGACACTTGTAAAGTATCTTTTCATTCTGTCTGTAGAATAATGTAAGTTTAGAAGGAGACGCACACAAAATTGAACTTTAAAAAAAAAATTAATGCATATAATTTAGCTATTGTATTTCTGAATATTGCAGGTATACTAGATATATTTGGTTTTGAACACTTTGAAAAGAACAGTTTTGAACAAGCCTGTATAAATCTGGCAAATGAACAGCTACAATTTTTTTTTAATCAGGTATGTAAATACTTTCTTCATTTATCTAATTCTGAAAATAAAAAAAAAACACTGAAAGTTCTTTGAAATTTGCAGAACTTTTGCATTTGTGTGTGTGTTTTGCAGAAAGAATGTATTATGATTTTTTTCATACTTTAAGCATGTATTCAAAATGGAGCAAGAGGAATACATAAGAGAAGGGATTGATTGGAAAGAAATTAAATTTGTAGACAACCAACCATTATTGGTAAGGAACATATACATTACTCTGGTTTCTGTAGATAATATGATTAATATATATTGCGAATTGAAAAGATACCCTATACTATTAGCTAACAATATTATTAAAGGATGCATAATTCTTATATTTTAGGATCTCTTTCTGAACAAACCTATTGGAATTTTATCCCTTCTAGATGAAGAAAGTCATTTTCCTAAGGTAACAGCTTATTTACAAATATTATATTGCATATATGTGTTTAGGTTACAGATTTCCTCAACTTAACAGACAGGAAATGTAATGGAAAGCTTTTTGAATACAGATTTAAATAAATTTTACAGGGTACAGACCAGTCTCTTGTGGAAAAGCTGAACATTCACTTTGGTGGGAATAGTTATTACAGAAAGTCAGCTCAAGCAAACTCCCGCAAGTTTTCAATCAACCATTATGCAGGAAAGGTTTGTAAATATCTGAATTAAGTTAAATGTTAGAATAACATTTTTTAAATAGACATATCCTACACAATGATGTTTTTTTTTTTTATTAAGATTGAATATCTTTTGTAGTCAATTATATCACAAGTGTATAATTTTTATTCCCCGTCTTCTATGTGGCCTGTGCATCTAGTGTTTTTCATGTCTGTCTTTTGTCCTTCTGTCTGTCCTTCTCAGTTTCAAAGAAACTATTCAAGACATTTTAGCAAACTTCATGTGCTGATACATATTGATGAGAGTTTTTCAACTGCATCAAATTTTTTACCTTGACCTTTCCTTTTACCCTGACCTCACTTTTCAAAAATTTGTGTTTAGCTAAGTTTCAAAGAAACTTTGCAAGATATTTTTATCAACCTTTATATCCTTGTACATATTGATGAGTTATTAAACTGGAAAAAAAATGACCTTGACCTTCCTTAGAACCTGACTTCACTTTTCTTAAATTAGTGTTTGGCTTAGTTTCAAAGAAACTGATATTTAAGATATTTTTATCAAACCTTATTTTCAAAGAAACTATTCAAAATATTTCCATCAAGCTTCATATACTAATACAACTTTTCAAGTTACATTACTAAAGAAAATGGGGGGGGGGGGGGGTCATGTCCAGTGGACATATTTCTAGTTTTTCTTTAAATTTCTTGAACTAAATTATACTTGTGTACATAATCAAAGATTATTTTGTCCAGATTTGATGTCGGTACTAGTATACAGATCAGCTAAATTGTGTCTTGCAGGTAACATATGATGCCACCAGGTGGCTGGAGAAAAATCGAGACACACTTCCACCAGGAGTGATAGAAATGTTACAGAGCAGCTCAAATGATCTTGTTAAACTCATCTTCAGAGGCATGTCTCACACTGAATTCAATTTCCTGCATGTTACATTTGAGTGTTGTGCATTCATGATGTATTAAGATTTCATCTTGAAAATGAATGACATGCAGCTTTTCATGTATAAAGAAAAATGTGATATTGTAGGACAGATCACCAGGACTGGTAGTTTAGCACTTCAAGCAAGGAAATCCACTAGAACAACTAGGCGGAGCAAGGTCAGGACACATTTAATTAATCCAGGTTACTGCAAATATACATAAATTAGTGCACTCTAAATTTAACACAATCTTCTTCATCAACTGATCAGCTCAATTATAAATCATTAGGGGACAAGTAGAAACGCTAAAGGTGTCAAAATATGATTACTGCGAAATTAAATACATTTACAGTAACAACATGATATATCTCAGTCATATGATATATGTAAGTCTTCTTCATTGATATTAAATTCTTACATGTTTTCTCTGTGTCTTCTAGAAGCCCCCAGCAGCAGGTAGTCAAGGTGGAAGGAAGAGGAAACAGACTGTAGGAGGACAGTTCAAGGTGAGTGTGCTTGATTTTAATCACTGCAAGTTTGTGGCATGGAGTTCCACCCAGAAAATATATAAGCAAGGTTAAAACAGATGCTATGGAGAAAAGTCAGCTTGTACATGTACCAGAATGCTAGACAATTAGCCCATAGGATAACTCACCCTTAAGACAGTTCACCATATTCTAATAAGAATTTGCCCATTATTAGCAAAACTCAACAAAATTTTGAACTGAAGGTGCAAGTGAGCTTTTCTGATCACATTATTTCTGTAGTCCATCTGTCTGTCCATCTGTAAACTTTTCACATTTTCATCTTCTCTCCTGGAACCACTGGGCCATTTTCAACGAAACTTGCCACAATCCTTGGGTGAATAGGATTCAAGAATGTCCAAATGAAGGGCTATGCCCTCTTTCAAGGGGAGATATTTAAGAATTTGTGAAAATTTGGTGGCATCTTTTAAAATCTTCTTCTGAAGAACCACTGGACCAAAAAGTGAAGTTGAAACTTGTGTGAAACCTTCATTACCTAGTGTAGATTCAAATTTCTTCAAATTATTATCCCTGGGGATTGTGGGGCCACAATGGGAGATCAAAGTTTTACACAGGAATATATAGGAATATTTAGGAAATAATCTTCTCAAAAACAGCAATGCCATCATTAGTCATATTGAAGCATATTCAGGAAATGTAGATATAAGTTTGTTCAAATCATGACCCTGTGGAGAAGGATGGAGCCACAATGGGGGATCAAAGTTTTTTCATGGGAATATATAGTTTGAAAAGTTTCTACTAAATAACAACAAAGCCATGATTGGTCATATTAATATTGAAGCATCCTCAGGTAGTGTAGACTCATTTTTTTTAAATCCCCCCCCCTCCCAGGATTAGGCTGGGGCCACAATGGGTGATCAAAGTTTTACATAGGAATATATAACAGAAAAGAATATGATTATGAAGAACAGCAGGGTCATATGACTCAGATGAGCATTGTGGCCCATGGGCCTCTTGTTTAATTGTTAGATTTATATCCAAGTTCTAAATCTACTCTTACGTATATTATTTATCTACTCTTACATATATTTTTACTTGATAAATAAAAATAGTTTACAATAGATTTGTATATATGTACTAAAATAATAATTAAACACCAGTTTAGTTGTTGGATGCCTATGGTACATTAAATATGTTATATTAAAAGAGAAAGAATTCAGGTGGTTTTACAGCTTGAATTAAAACTTATATTAATTCGACTTTTATGCTTTAAAAGGAAGAGAGGACGTACAGACTTCAGGCATCAATTTCAAGCTTAATATATGCAGTCTTCAACTATGACAGAACCTATGAGTTTTTACATTGTTTGCCATGCCAAGAAAAACAATACTGCTTTAAATTACACTCAACAATATTTTATAATTCTGACATTATAATATTACTCATATAGAGTAATTATGATATATATGGATGACCTCATTTAATTCCGAGGTTAAAGTACAAAACTGTGTACAACAAATAATAGATGCCTAGACCAGGTATTGATCTCCAGACCGTGCCTCTAATATTCAATATTAAAGCATTAGCAATAAATCATCATGAAAATATTGCATGTTTCAAGATGAGAGAAATCTTACAACACATATTTTCATTACAATCTAGATTTATTTTTTATAGATATTTCTGAAATAGAAAAACATGCTTATGGTCCAGGTATTGTAGTCCTTTTTGAAGGACAGCAACTTTTCTGTATATAGATATACATATACATGTATATGCTGACATATTTAGAGTGTTTGTAACTCAAAATTATATCACATTGTTGTTTTATTGTTATTTGTACATTTTAAGACATCCCTGGGCATTCTGATGGAGAGAATGATGTCCTCTTCTCCAGTTTTTGTACGCTGTCTGAAGCCTAATCATGTTAAAGTCCCAGGAAAATTTGATGAAAGCTACATACAAGACCAAGTAAGAAAAGGATAAAGGTCACAATGAATAAATAAATCATTGTTGGCTGTGATTACATAGCTTATTAGTATTAGTGGATTTATATACATCATCTAGAAGGGTATCAGTATAACTGTAACCTTACTGTAGATTCCTAAATATACGCAAGGAATTAATTATCGCGTAATTATGCGAGAAGCACCACTTGCGAAATAAAATTACTCGCTTTTATTTTTATGGTGCTGAAATCAATGTAAAATCACTTGATAAACCATCCACTCACGAATTATTGTTCTCGCGATTTGACGTGAAAGAGTCATTTTGCGATAATAAGTATTAGCGAAAAATAAGGAATCTACAGTATTTAAATGTGAAGCCTATAAGAAAGATATTTGAAAAAAGCAATGTATTGTATGTTGATTTCTTATCTGTCTGTTTTAGTTGTTATACACTGGTATGTTGGAGACAATTAAAATCAGAAGAGAAGGGTTTGCAGTAAGGCCATCCTTTGCTGAGTTTGTAGAAAAGTTTGTATATTTAATTTTCTATTTTAAAATAGTTTTGGTATGAAGACTGTCGTGTATCTTCTTTTTTTGTAAATGAATATCAGATGGTTCTGAAAAGCTGTATTAAGTTTTTTTTATTCCCCTGTATCGAACATTCGGGAGTATATAGTTTTTGCCCTGTCCGTCCGTCTGTCTGTCTGTTTGTCCGCAAATACTTTCCATTGCTTATAACTTTTGATTGGTTGGAGCTATGGCTTTCATATTTCACGTGTGTATTCCATGTGACAAGACCTTTCTTTGGGTACCATCATATTTGACCTTTTGACCTTGACCTTGGAGTTTGACCCAGTTTTACAAAATTTTACCCAAGTTGAACCTTGGCCATAACTTTTAAACGGTTGGTGCTAGGCTTTCATACTTCACATGTGTAATCCTTGTGACAAGACCTTCCTTTGGATACCAACAACTTTGACCCTTTGACCTATGAGTTTGACCTGCTTTTGAAAAACTTTAACATTCGCTATAACTTTTGAACAGTTAAAGATATACAAGCTATAACTTGCGTCAGTTAAAAATAAAACTGGAAATTTATTTATTTTGTTTACCAAATAAAGTTATGAAAATATTGTAAATTACACAATTAGAAATGAATGCATTATAAAGATCTCAAATTATAATTATTTAGTATCCTAGTAGGAGAGTAATGCCTCTATTTAAATTCTTGCATCATGTGACACCATCGCTACTTTTAGATTGATAAACAAAAATGGCGTCAATAAAACGAGGTAAGACGTTTGGTATACAAAATAACTTTTGACCTGGATGGCATACGTTTTATGCTTAAAGACGCTTATCTTTGAAAACAACCAGTATTAACCATCTACTGATGACAGATATTAACTTTTATTCAAAATCGTAGTCAAAATGCAACGTACCTCGTTGTCTATGATTTCCCGCAGACATGCGCGTCTATATACTGTTTACGCACTTCCTTCATCAATATTCATGAATAGGCTGAATTCTTAATTGCAGATCTTGCTTAATTGTTTTGTAATTACAACGACTTATTTAGTAAAACTTTGTGGAAAGTAATTTTTTTTTATTACACATCATGTTTTTCAAATCATTTAATCATTTTGTTTCACATAAAAAATTGCGTTTATATAGTGTGTATATCTTTAATGCTAGGGCTTTCATACTTCACTTGTGTTATTCTTGTGACAAGACCTTTCTTTGGAAACCAACAACTTTGACCCTTTGACCTTTGACCTACGAGTTTGACTTACTTTTGAAAAACATTGGCCATATCTTTTGAACGGTTGGTGCTAGGGCTTTCATTCTTCACATATGTAATCCTTGTGACAAGACCTTCCTTTGGATACCAACAACTTTGACCCCTTGACCTTGACCTTGACCTACTTCTGGAAAACTTTTACCTTGGCCATAACTTTTGAACAGTTGGTGCTTTGGCTTTAATATTTTCACATGTGTAATCCTTGTGATAAGCCCTTCCTTCAGATACCAACAATTATAGCCCATTGACCTTGACCTTGGAGTTTGACCTACTTTTGAAAAACTTTAACATTGGCCATATCTTTTAAACGGTTGGTGCTAGGGCTTTTATATTTCACATGTGTATTTCTTGTGAGAAGGCCTTTCACTGGGCGCATTAATTTTGACCATTTGACCTTGACCTTGATGTTTGATTTACTTTTGAAAAACTTTAACTTTTCCATATCTTTTCAATGGTTGCTGCTAGGGCATTCACATTTCACAAGTATGTTCCTTGGTACAAGACCTTACTTTGGGTACCAGCATATTTGATTTGCATTAGAGAAAGTTTAACCTTCACTATAAGTTGCCATACGGGGGCATCAGTGTTTCACAAACACATCTTGTTTTTACTCATTACAGATACAAAATTATTGTATGTGAGGCAGCATTACCAGGGACAAAAGAAAATTGTTTTAAAATTTTAAAGGCAAGCAAAATAGCAGGCTGGCAGATCGGGTAAGCTTCTTTATAAGCAAATACTGATGCATTTATGTTTATATTAACTTTAATATTCAGTAGCATGACTTTCAAATCACTACCATGGGTTTGGGTCTTGCCTGATGTCATCAACTTTAACATGTTTTCAATAAATTTTTAATAAGATTTATAGTCCATATTTTACATACTTATTTGTAATTTAAAACAAATTCGATCAAATTCATTTTTAAAGGGCTAAATTTGATTATTAAAGTGCTTTAAAAAAAATGTACCTTAACGTTTCAATATCGAACTTTTTTTTCATTGCAGCAAATCAAAGGTTTTCATGAAATATTATCATTTGGAACAACTTTCAGATGTTCTAAAAACAATGGGTGTTTCTGCAATAAAAATTCAGAAAGGTGTGTAAAAGATTTTTTTAATGAGACTTTTTTAATCCTTAAGAATTTAGCAAGAATAAAGAGCCAAGAGGTATTAGGACATATATCAGTAATTCTGATTTTATTTCAGTGGTAAGGGGATTTATTGGTCGTCAGGAATACAAACGAAGGCTTGCTAAAGCTAAAAATGAGGCAGAAAGATTAAAGCATTTGGCTGATGATATCTATAACCTTAATATTCATCTATGTAATCAACTGCAGATAGCGAAACAAAATGATGTAAACATTCCAAATAGTAAGTATGCTGAACTACTAGTGACATTTGAAATTAGTCTCTGACTGGGATTGAATAAAATTTTGAGCTCTCTCTCTCTCTCTCTCTCTCTCTCTCTCTCTGAGTGCAAAACTAAGTAATATACTGTCATTTTAATAGTGATTTCTTAATACTAAAAATAAGATATTTCCAAAAACAAAACCCAGATCAAATTTCCAAGGGGAATCAAAATTTTAACAAAGATTCTTCTTATGCCCCCGTAATCAAAGATTTGGTGGCATGTAATTTTTGTCTGTCTGTCTAGTTGTCCCTTTGTCTGCAAAAATTTAACCTTGCCCCTAACTTTTGATTGGTTGGAGCTATGGCTTTCATATTTCACATGTATATATTCCTTGTGACAAGACTTTTCTTTGGGTACCATCATATTTAACTCTTCTGAGCCAAAGGCTCAAAGAGCTAATGCTCTGGCCATTTGTGCGGTGTGCCTAAACTTTTTAGAATATGGGCCATAACTCAAGAACCCCTTGGCCAATTATTGTCAAATTTGTCACAGGGTATCCTTGGCCCAAGGGCTCCCGTTTGTACTAAAAGTAGGGTTGTGACCCTTAAACAAGGGGAGATAATTAGGAAAATAGAAACAAAAGTACTGGTTGCTAAAAAATCTTCTCAAGAACACTGGGCAGATTATCACCAAACTTACACAAAAGGATGAGGATATGTTGTAGATTAAAAATTGTTCAAGGCATGTATATTTCTCGTGAGAAGGCCTTTCCTTATGCATCATTAATTTTGACCTTGACCTTGATGTGTGACTTGCTTTTGAAAAACTTTTACCTTTTCCATATCTTTTCAATCGCTGCTGCTAGGTCTTTCATATTTCACAGGTATATTCCTTGAGACAAGACCTTACTTTGGGTACTAACGTATTTGATTTGCATTTGAGAAAGTTTAACCTTTGCAATAAGTTGCCATACGGGGACGTCAATGTTTCACAAACACATCTTGTTTCTAATTCTGTAAAATCGCTTAAATCAATGATAAATACTTTCAGAAGCTTTTTCAATCTAATATACAATAAATAGTAAAGAAAGGTCAAGGTAAAAGAAAATTTGACACAGTTGATGAATTCTCACAGAATACTGTATCAGTGCATAAGCTTACATAAAAAAAAATATCTAGAAGAGTTTCTTGGCAACTGAGCTACACACAAATTTGAGAAAAGTTAGGTCAAGGGAAAAGGAATGGTCAAGGTAAAAAAAAATTTGATGCAATTGAATAGCTCTCATCAATTCATGTATGTATCCATAAAGTTTAATAAAAATATCTTGAATAGTTCTTTGAAATTTAGCTGAACATAAATTAGAAGTCAGGGTCAAAGGAAAGGTCAAGGTAAAAAATGTTGATGCAGGATAGTCCCAGGGATATAACTTGATTCTTTAGTCTTGGGAATGAAAAACACAAGTAACAATGATCCATAATATAACGTCATTCTATAAATAGCTATTGTATCATTGAATCTTAAGTTGATGTGAAAATTTGATCAGGAATCTATATTGCAGATGTAGATTTGCACTCTAAATAACAAATAAAAAATGGCTCAATACCTCCTTGTTAATTATTTTCTAAACACTTTAATTTAAATTCACTTTTTATTTCTGTTGATGACGTAATCTGTGCGTATGTTGTAAGATTTGGGATCATGTGACGTAAACAGTCCAGACTTTTGACAGCACCATAGGCCAAGGGTTTGTGAGGAGATTAGTGAATCAGAAACCCTTGGCTAGCAAAGATGTTGAAATCAAGATAATTACTATTATAAGAAAGTGAGGTCAAGGTCAAAGGAAAAGTCAAGGTCAAAAATGTTGTTGCAGTTGAACAGCTGTCATCAATATGTATCAGCATATGAAGTTTGATTAAAATATCTTGAATAGTTTCTTTGAAACTTAGCCAAATGCAAATTTAAAAAAAGTGATAACTAGGTCAAAGAAAAGGTCAGGGCTAAAAAATGATGATGAAGTTGAATTATTCTCATCATTATGGATCAGCATTCAAGGTTTGATAAAATATCGTAAATAGTTTCTTTGAAAGTGAGCTAAACACTGATTTTAAAAAAGTGAGGTCCAGGTTTAAAGGGAAGGTCAGGATCAAAAAGAGTTGATGCATTTGAAAATCAATATGTATTAGTGTATGAAGTTCTATTAAAATATCTTGAATAGTTTCTTTGAAACTGTGTGGACAGAAGGACAGAAGACGGACATAATGAACAAATGTTTTGATAATGCCAAAACTACATTAGATGTAATTTTTGAAGGTTTTTTTGGTGTTCATGATGGCTCAGACCTTCCACCCATACCTGATTTTACTGATGTTCACTCTGTACAAATGAGTACCAGGAGTTACGAAAAACCAGCACCAAAAAAGACCTTTCATGAAATGGGCACCCAGGTAAAGTTTGCTTGAACTGAAGAAAAGACTATTTGTGGTATTCTGAATAAACTGAAATTAAAATCCACATGTAATGTACATCATTCTTTTGTTTGAGCTATCCATTATTTTTTGGGAATGGAGAGTTGCATGCATATCATATGAAGAACATTACGTATGTACTTGCAGTTTGTATTATGCTCAAGTTCTCCCTTGCTTGAGTACAAGATATAACAAGAGTGCCTCTTCCAAAATTATGAAATTCATAGCCCTTGGGTAAGGGGTTCTGGAATTAAGACATGACTCTATTGATTATGTAGTGAAATTGCATTAATTCTTTGAAAATCTTCTTCTCTCCTCCTAGGTATTTAGCAGATAAACTAAGTACATGATTATGATGATCAAGAGTTCCTCTTCTAAATAGTGAAAGTTGTGGCCCCAAGGTCAAGGGTTCAGGTGGGGGGGGGGGGGGGGGGGTGTCTGTTGAATATATAGTGAAAATGCATTATTTCTTCGAAAATCTTCTTTTCTACCCATGGGTATTAAGCAATCATTCTATGTCCATTGTTATGATGAGCAAGGGTTCCTCTTCCAAAATTGAATTTCTTGGCCCTTGAGCTCTGATGGAAAGGTGGAGCTACATGTATTGTTGAATCTAAAGTAAAAATGCATTATTTCTTGGAAAATCTTACTTAGGCAATTAGAAGGCAAACAGAGTATATATAGGCATTATTTCTTGGAAAATCTTACTTTGGCAATTAGAAGGCAAGCAGAGTATATATAGTCAGGGATTTATCAGCCTATTTTGGGAAATACCATTTTTGGGGAATTGGGAAATAATTATAAGCTATTTGATGAAATTGGGAAACATAAAAAAATGTTGCTTACATCATATATTTAGCTGTCATTATTTTACATTTCAACATGAACTCTAATTTGGGCAATCTAATAGAGCATAAAATATTATCCAACTTCATCATACAAGATCAATAATGAATGATAGACTAATAAAACTAAATTTGACCTCAATGAATATAAGGTATTTATACAACATAGGGTAGTATATGTGTGTATGAAATTCCAATTTAGGTCATAAGAATCTGTTCCTGAAGATTATAAACCTCCTGCAAAAAATTATACTAAGTACACATTTTCTCAAAGTCTCCTTTTAATGCATAAAAATGTATTAAAAAGATTTTTTTCTATCTGAAATAATGCCTTCAGTTCTTACCATTCACTCCTAGATACATTGAGTAGGTGGAAATAACTTAATAAATATATATTGTTACACAGTATCACCATTTTTAGAAAAAAGGGAGGAAATTCGGAATTTAGGTTGGTTTTTAAACATGTTATATGACTGTAGCTATGTAAAATGAGTTAAACAGAGGAAAATTACAGAGAATCTGACAATTTTACTTAGTGTTTTTCCACGATAATGAAGTATAAAAGCATTGTTCACCAAATGGGAAAAATACTGCCAAATTTGGAAAAAAATTGAATTCATTTTTAATTGTGAATGGGACTGAGAAGGTACTGATAAATCCCTGAAAGTTGTAATAAGCAAGGGTATCTTAAACAGATTTTTGAAATTCTGCACCATTTTGTCAATTTATTGATTTATACTCTACTGAAAGAAGTTATCCCCTTTGCTATTAATTGATCACCTATGATAATTACTTACTGTAACTTAAACTAGTGTAATTGAAAGGTCAATTGAATAACAATTATAAAAAAAAAAATTATAATATTTCATTCAAAAAGTACTTTCATAGTTTTTATTGGTCAGGTAGATTAAATAATAGACAAATAAACATTGGAAAAAGAATACTTTATCTTTGTACATTAAATGTTCTTCCAAGGGTTGGGGTCAATTACTTTGAAATGTAATACATTCAAATACATTGATAATTTTGTCAAATACTTGCAATTACAATTACACTGATTTTAAGAAATGTAATTGATTACTCTCAATTACTTTGAAGAATGTAATTAAACACATATCAATTACTTCAGTTTTATTTCCAAAAAATTTGAAGAACAAATATATAAATATTTTGAAGCAGCAGTATTATCCAATTTGTCCTTTCCTATTGCCCTGGGTAGTGTGATTATGCTGTATAAACATTACTAAGCATTTAATTATTGAATAAATGCAAATTCCTGCCAAACAATACTGGTATGCATCATGATAAAACATCTTTTTTAATATGTAATTTGAAAAATAAAGTATTTGAAATGTAAATGAAAAATACATGACATTTTTGGAATGTATTTAAATTACTTGTAATTGAAAGAAATCTCAATTACAAATTCTTTCAATTATTTTGAAAAAATTGATTTAACTACAGTAAATTACAATTACTTATTTCAATTACTCCATCCCTGGTTCTCAAGATCTGTTGCTCTATTTAGTCCACATGGGAATACTGATAAATGGGGACAAGTACAGGCAAATAAATAGATCAACTGTAACATTTGTTACTGAGCACTAAATTAGTTATTTTGTTGATCCCTGATCAACCTGTTTCTCTTTATTTTGGGCAATATAGCTTTATTTATCAACTTATTTTGTTTTATTTTATATTCAATCTGTGGATCCTTTACAGTATTACATTATACAGGTGACTGTCAAGGGCTTTTAGTCTCTTTTTTTTTCTTTTGTCTGTTTTAAGGAAAATAGTGTATTTAATTTGTAAAACTATTCTTGAAAGTAAATTAATAAAATAAGCAATTCAGTGTATTTTTTTACAAGTTAAATTCAAAGACAGATTTTGGCATTTAGTCATAGTATCAATTATTTTTTAGTGAACAGTAAGAGGATCTTACAGGTCACAGCTTATTGTTTTTTTTTTTTTTTAACTTTTCTTCATTTTTAGCTCTTTTGGTCAGAGATCAGAAGAGCTTATGTGATAGTTAGGTGTCTGTCCTCTGTCTGTCTGTCTGTCCATCTGTAAAAAAAAATTTCAAAATGCTAATCCCCATATAGTTTTGTTCTGATTTCAATGTAACTTGGCACACAAGTAGATTATATATTAGGATACATAATTGTGTATATGGGATTTCAATGAAAGATGTTGACATAGTAACTAAAAATAGAAATTTCGTTAAACTACATTCAAAATGCTACACCTCCTACAGTTTTTGTCTGATTTCAGTATAACTTGGCACAAAAGTAAACTATTACTAAGATACATAACTCTATTTAAGGGTGTTGAATTTCAATGAAGATTGTTGTCATGGTTATTAAAAATAGAAATTTTTGTAAAATTCTCTCAAAAATGCTACTCCACTAAAGTTTTAGTCTAATAGCAATAAATCTTTCCACAAGAAGACAATAAGCCAAGGATCTTTCTTTTATTGCTGTTGTAAAGTTTTAAGTCTAAGTGCTACTTTTCTCTTCCTTTGTTATAAGTACAAACCAGTAGAACTCAGTCTCGTTAGATACTTCTGGTTTTTTATTGGCCTCAGAACTCATGAGATATGTTTGCTTATTTTGTTTTAATAGATATGATGAAGAATTTACTAAATTTTGTCAGTAATCATTAACACGGCTTCATTTTATTAAAAGGCATATTGATTTTTTCCTGATTTGTTCATTTATATATCATAAATTACATTCACTGAATTTTTTTTTTCTTTATTTCTTCTGAAAACTATAAGAATAATTTACTTTCAAACTTGGTTGAATTTTATTTTTAAATTCATCTGTAACGACAGATAAGAAAGACGTATAAAGAGTCAACTGTTTCATAGATCTTTCAATATTTTGAATCCTCAGATGTCTTGAAATTTATTGTAAGCCTCACATTGAGTTCCAGATAATAACATATATATATATACCTTTGGTGTATTTATAGGCAGAGGCAAGTTCATCAGATTCAGAATATTCAGAAGATGAATTCAAGCCTGTGTCCTCCCACAATTTTGGTACCCCAGGGAACAGACAAGCAACAGTACGATGGTTCAAAGAAACTCAGACTCATCAGGTCTATGATCCTGTCAATGCCAGTGGCAATTTTATTGCAGAGTGGTTTCATGGCGTTATAAGTCGCAGGTAATGCAATAAAGTTTTTCAAAGGGGACATTGTGAAATTGTAGTAGATAAAAAGATGCACAAATTCAACAATACAAATTCAAACTGTACATGTTGAAAACAATCATTTAAAATTCTTTAGATGAATAATACCTTAACTGATGCACAGTGGCAGATCATAATAATTATTACGAACAAAATGGCAGCAAAAAATTGTCTCATGTGATATCAATAATTTTGAACACCTATAAAACTAATTATTTATCAATGTCAGTGAATTATGTGGACAGTTAAATTTATGTCATATTGTCAATGATGATGTAATATCATTCATGACATAATTTGACATATGATTCTGATGGAATGGGGAAATTAAAAGCTTTGTCACCAGACCTGCAAAAAAAAAAAAAAAAAAAAAAAAGCATCTTAAGAAAAGAATCAGATATTGCAAAAAACCTGAGATTGAATAGATCCACAGTTGATCTGTGATAAAACAGTAAAAGATAGAAGTATAATCTAGAGGGAAAAAAACAAAGATCAGGGAGGAAGAAAGAGGAGCTCAGTGATCTTTATTAAGGCTTATTAAAAGAAATTGCATTGATAAACTTGGAGAAATTACACAAAAATTAAATGAAAACAGAGAAAATCATGTGTCTGAGGTTACAATGAAGGGGTGTTTTGTATCACAAACATGTGAGAAAAAATATTAGGATTTGAGAAGTGAGTATGAAAAACAAAGTTGCCTGGGCTAGAGGTTATAAGAAAAATTGGAGAGTTGAAGGTGAATGGATAGGGTAATATTTTCAGATGAGTGCAAAGTTGTAATTGGTGAAAATCATGTCCACTGTGGCAAAGACTGGGAAAGAATGGATGCTGCAGTGCAGAAACCCTGGTCGGGATGCTAAAATAAGCTTAATGAATTGGGCCTGTATTTGCTGAAATAGTTCAGGGACATTGATGGTGGTTACTGGAAATATAAATGCCCAGAAGAATACTGAAATAATTGACACTTAGATATTGCCAGTTGTAGCCCAAACTTCCCCCCGATATGACTTGGTTTTTAAAGATGGCAACACCCCTTTGCGCCTTGCATGTATCATCCATCAGATTAAAACAGAAAAAGACATTCATAGAATTTATGGTAAGCACACAGTCAGCAGATGATAATTTATTTGAGAATGTTGGTTGTTATTGAAAAATCAGCTTAAAAAACAAACAGGACAAATAAATGCTTAGGCAGCCAAGCCAATCTTGAATTAGGAATCAGCAAAATCTGGAGCAACATACCAGTAAACTACATTCAAAACCTATGCAACTCAAGTACTCAAATGTTAAAGAATATGCTACAAAATATTAAGGTATGATTTGTTCAATTTTATCTTTTCTTAAGCTGTTTCAGATATTTTTCCATTTACCACCAGAGTAACTAATGATTCAGTGTTGCCAATTTGTCTGTAATAATATGATCCCCCACTTTATTTGAATTAAGTATTGGTTGCTTCAATTCATTTTTAGCTCACCTTACTGAAGTGAAGGCTCAAGTGACCTTTTCTGATCAAAATTTGTCCATTTCAGCATCATAGTTGTACAAACTTCCCACATTTTCATCTACTCCAGAACCACTGGTCCAATTTCAACCAAACTTGGTACAGAGTATCCTTAGGTGCAGGGGATTCAAGTTTATTCACATGAAGGGTCACACCCTCTTTTAAGGGTAGATAATTAAAAATATTGTCAGAATTGAGTGGGGTCATTTTGAAAATCTTCTCAGGAACCACTGGGGCAGAAAAGATGAACTTGATTGATAGGTTCCTGACATAGTACAGATTCAGATTTACTCAAATTGTAGTTCAAATGGGTAGCATGAGGCCACTGTTGACGACCAGTTTTAAATAGAATACATAGGAGAAATCTTTAAAAATCCTCTTTTCAAGAACAGGAAATCCTTGATTAGTTATATTTATATGGAAGCATCCTCAGATAGTATGTATTCAAGTTTGTTCAAATAATGAACCCCAGAGATAGTGTGGGGTCACAATATGTGGTTTAAGTTTTACATAGGAATATATAGGGAAAAATCTGCTGATGAAGAACAATATGACCACAGTGATTCAGGTGAGCATTGTGTCCCATGGGTCTCTTGTTTTGTGTATTATTTCAGTATTGGATTTTAAAACATTTAATAAATCAATTTATATTTTTAGAGAGTCAGAAACCTTGTTAAAAGGAAAACCCAAAGGTTGTTACCTAATTCGAGTCAGTGAAAGCAGATTTGGTTACACATTATCTTTCAGGTGAATCAGATATTTTGTGAATGAATTTTGTAAATTGAAAATATGCAAATTTGTTTATTGTGTTAAAGATAGACTATCATTTGCTGCACGTTAATGCTTTTGTATTGATACCTGAATCATAGTTGATAGTGTAATTAAAATAGAAAAAAGATAATATTTTTTGAAAAATTAAATAACTCTCGTTCCTGTGTTATAGTGGGGGAGATCGAACAAGGCATTACATGATTGATCAGCTTCCAAACAAGAAGTACATAATTATTGGGGAACCTAAAGTCCACAGGAGTCTAAGGGATCTGGTGGAATATCATAAAAATGTAAGACAGAATTTTGTCTTTCTTTCTAAGTGAATATTGGCCATTTCACAACAATAAATGATACTCATGTACCTTGGATATGTTTCTCATTTTTATAGGTTAAGATATCCAACTGGAATGGCTACATTACAGAACCATGTGGGCAGGTAAAATATTAAAAAAGTTTTTAGGAAGATTTTTATTATGAAATTATTGAAGGTTGATATTCCATTTGATAATTTAACAAATAAATGACAATGGTGAAATTTGTTTATTACAAAAAAAAAATCAAGATATAAATAAGATTATTATTCTTAAGATTAGTCAACTTCAATATTATCACAGGAGCATGGTGTGTGTGACTACCAGGAATTGGTCGGAGACAATATGTACTTCCAACTTGAAGAAAACTACCAGGTAAAACACAAACAGAATCTTTATTATTTTGTCATAAAACATCTTTATCTATTTATCTTTACTGAAGGTTATCCATTGGCAATTAATTTACTTTGATTGATTCATTAAAAATAATATTTCCAGAAGAAATCTAGTCAACAATCTTCAAGAAATCCGCAGAGAGTAAGATTTTTTAGATTCCTTGTTTTCTGCATGGCAGTACTAAGAGTCACTTATTTTTTTGTATCCCAAGTGAAAATTTTGAAATTAACCTATTAATATATTTAAAAACTTTTGCTGGTTTAAAGCCTAATAGATATAATTATGTGTTTTAATTATTTCACATGACTAGCTTCTTATATTGAAAAAAAGATCAGAAAATTAACATTTCCACATTTTCAAGTAGTGAATATTTTGGTTTTATGTTTTAAAATCAACATGTTGTGTTTTAGCACCCGACTCTTCCTTATGTGTGAGTCTGCCTGTCATGTCCAAAAATGCATTATATTATAATCCAGATATACCCTGTTTTTGCATGAAGTACACATGTTATGTTTGTACTTGCATTCTGTGTATCAATTACTATTGAAATTCATCCTCATTCACCAGACTATAACATGTTAGCAAATGTATTCTGAAGCAAAAACCAAAAAAGAAATTGAGATTTAATTGGTGATGATTTGTATTCTAAAAATGAGCACTGTCAAGTTCATTTACTGTTTGGTTTGATTTTTGTAGGTTTAATGTGTATGCAATTAGTAATGTAGGCTACAAATTTCATATTAAGTTTTGCATGCATATTATTTGTTTTCATAGTTACAGGTAATTTTACAGCTAGTTTATTTAAAAGCAAGCACAATTTTCCCACCACGTAGAGCAGAATGCAAGAGTAACACTACTATGTCTTTTTGTTAAATTTTGATATGTTTTGTGTATTGGTTTAATTGCTGCTGACTACTTTTAAAATGGCATTGTGTGTTGAAGTTACAAAGCATTCGGTGCTTGAGCATGGCCATATGTATTTCACGTCAATGAGTTTGAGAAACACATTGGTGTTTATTGAATATTCATTCCTGATATGTGCAGGCATTTTTTAAATTATTTTTTGATATGTTAACAAGGATTATTTCTTCCTTTGATTAAATTTTAATTTCATTTGCTATAGTTCTTGTAGTCATGGAATATTATCCATTGAGGCATTGAAACTTAAATGCTAATTTTTAAGTGTGTTATCAGATGATAATTATGATTACAGAGAGGTGCATCTCGCACAAGCCGAGTCCCAGAAAATCAGGCTAGCAACAGTCATGTGACTTCAAATGACTCGGCCCCTCCAGTCCCAGAGCGTAGTTACTCTGTGGCTAAACCTGTTCAACCACAGGCTTCAGTTATGAGTAACCGCCCCCTTCCAAGGAGACCAGATGAGGCATATCAAAGGCTTCTTAAAAACCAGGTACCATAAAACTGTCAATATCTGGAAGTCACCTAAGCAATTCATGCTAAAAATATTTCTGTATTTTCAAATAATCTGTGTTCTGGCTTAAGTTGGTTTATATTTTGTTACTAAGTTGATATCTTGGAGGAAAATCGGGATATATTGCAATACGAAATTTGGGTGATACCCATCAGTATTGGACAAATAAGAAACTTAAAATTAAAACTCATTAATAATAAGGTTATTTTGCTAAACATGTATCACTTAACACCAATATATTATATACTTGCTTTAAAAATGTTTTGCAATTATATGATCAAATTCCATTAATATCAAAGTTATTCATCTATTATATAGCATGCTCGAATAAAGGTACTTGAAATTGATCATCTCCACATACAAAAATGTAACTTGTTTCATGTGCATGGGTTCTCTCTCTTTATTTTTAAAGGAATAATTTCAAAATGAGTTAAAAAATGTACCTATTTGTTCTTTACTGCTATATGAATTAATATTGGAAACCCATCTTTTTTTGCTTAAAATTCAAGCATTGACATGATCAATATGGTTAATTTGCTTGTTAAATATAGTGCCTTTAACTAAGAAATGATTTTATAGTTGCACATGCAGTGCAAATCTGTTCTTTGAAAAGGGGAATGAATTTAAATGTCTTCAATAGTGATTATTTGGACTTGGTATTTAAGGAGTCCTAATTGTATGTTTTTAACCAAGAATTAAATGACCAAATATATTAAATATAATGCACATAGTTTTATATTGTTGAGACGAAAATTTGTGAAATTGGACCGTAATAGGGGGATTAAAGTTCAATACAGAAGTATCCTCAGATTCAAGTTTACTCAACTTGAACAAGTCCTGGGGGGTTATGTGGGACCAAAATAGACGATCAAAGTTTTACTTAGTAATATACTGGAAACAGTCTACTCAAAATAAGCAGGGTCATGAGTAATCATATTAATATGCAAGTACTCTTTCCAAATTTGTATGAAATCAGTGCCAATGGTTTTAGGGTGGGGTCACAATAAGCAACAGAGGATAACATTGTAGAAGGGATTGAATACAGGAAAACATTTTTTTTTTAAAAATCTTCTCAAGATCTACAAAAGACTTTAAAACGTTTCCAAGTTGTGTGGATTCAAGTTTTTCTTATTTCTAAATTAAGGGTCCTCGGGTAGGGGATTGGACTAAAATCTGGGATCAAATTTTACATAATGCTTATATACAGGAGAAAAAATCTCCTCCATAAGAGGAAGACGATATGTAAGTCAAAATGTAATTGAAACTTTCCCATGTTGTGTGGTTTCAAATTTGGCAAAGTCATGACCCTTTGAAATTTTACTCAGCATGATTTATTCTGTTTTGTAGGGGACAATTTAAAATTTGAAAGAACAAATCAAAAAAAAAAAAAAAATGCAGTATCCTTCTTAGCAAATAATGCTTCAAAAAGACACTCCAAATAACAGTTGAATTGCTTTTATCATTTGGAAAAGGGATTTTGTTTAAGCTTTTGGCAATGTATCACTGTCTTTGAATCTTGACCCAAAAAATTATTTTTTTTCAAAACCATTGCAGAATTAAAGGTGCGATTGTGTATGATTTTATAACAGTATATCCATTATAGGACCTCCAACTTGCCATCATTTCCTTGTCTGTTAATTATCACGCTTTGTCATTCCCAGACCAAACAGCATGAGTATCACTGAAGAGGCGGCAAGAAAATTGAACAATGATCAATACTTCAATGTTCATTAGGGATCCTGAGAGATTTTAAAGAACAGATATCAGAGACCTTTCTATATCATATCACAGCTCCCTGACATATCAAATGTTCCAAAACAAGTTCGTGATTTTGTCTTGGGTTTGGTATGTTTCAATTATGAAATAGCTTCTTTTTTTTCAAATGTTAATTTCATGTTTAACATGAACAGATGTATTGGTTACAGCGAAGTCCTGGGGATCTCATTTTAATTTGTTACAACTGTAATTCGTTATATATGTCTGTCAAACAAATTAGTAAAACGTATATAAAGCGAATTTCCTTGTGTTTACTAAATATGCTTGTTGAAGTATTACACGTAAAGACAAAATATACCCTGGGAAACTAAAATAATCTGTGTTCTGAATTCTCTTACCTGGTATATAATACGAACAATAATGTCATTTTTTTGACCTTCAAAATTTGTTTTGAAAGATGTGAATTTTGTTATTGTCAACCTCTCTAGGACAAGTATCCATAAATTCGCTACATGTATATCAGTGTGTTCGTTTTAAGCGTAAAATTTTACATGGAATTGTTAGGAATGCTCCCGAGGACTATAAAAAAACTTTGCTATATCGTAAATTTACTTTATCCATGTTCATTTAAAAGGAGTTATTCTGCCTGTCTACATTTAAAATAAATTGCACATTTTCATTTAAATGTGTAAAACTGGTTTAAAGGGCATAATTTTAATACTTAAACCTTCATATCATTGTTATTTTATAAGGGTATGCAAAATTGTAAATATAAATTTACAAATTGTTCATATCTAAATAATCATGACTGAAGAAACATGAAGAAAAGTTTCTGCCCTTTGTACAATTTTTTGAATTGCAGAAAACTGATTTTTTAAAACTTCTTTTGCTAGGCCATATTTTATTTATCGTTCTTACGAAAAAACATTACTTGGAAGATAACATTTCTATCGGGCATGATGTTTTAAAGATTTTGCCAAAAAAAAAAACTCCTGATGTCACATGGAAGTGATACGCTTGAAATTGCAAAAAAAAAAATTATCAGATTGTGAAATGTTTTTCAGTGATGTTCAATACATGTATTGTGTTTTTCTCTATAAAAATTGTTTCAAATGATCAAACTGAATTTTTTTTTTATAATACAATGAATATTTTTGATCAAGTGTGTTTCATTACGTCTATGTTATTAATTGCCATTCTACATATTTCCATGAATAAGTTCATTTATATTCATGTACTTTAAGTTTTTGACTTTCCATGAATTGAAATTAATAAAACATATTTAGTTTTTTATATTATATATGAATATCGTTATACATTATCGTAATAAAGTCTGTAAAAGTGAATTGTTTGTACTAGATTACATATTGCTAAGTAGAACTTGTATGTCTTCGTGTAATATCCTTAGAATAGAAGATTGTAAAAATGTATAAATCTGAAAATTTTGCATATTCATAATTACATTCAAGTGATAGATGAAATATATGGAGATAACGAACAGTATTCGAGCTCAAAAGTCCATTAAGCATTACAAAACAGGAGCAGAGCAAACACGGACCTCTAAGACATCAGAGGTGGGATCAGGTGCCATGGAGGAGTGATCATCCCCTGCCGACCGGTCTCACCCACCGTGTGCTCCTTGTCATAATCGGGAAAAAACGGAAATTCCGTCGACAAATCTGTGTGTAAATAATGGCCTAACAATTAGTATGAAAAAAAAGTCAGCATTTGATTTAATGAAAGATTGTATTTGCTGACAAGGTCATTGTATCGACCATAGAACTTACGAAATGATGACTTGAAACGAGGCTGCTGATATTCCACTTGTTTGTCAATAATTTACCTCATTTTAGAGATTGTTCATAGGTAGAGCATGGTCTTGCGTATCGAATCAACTGAGAGATAAAAACCCCGTATGCAGGTGATGAAGGTATATTGCAGCATAAGTAAGGGAAGTTGATGATTGAAAAGTTAAAGTCATCACGTTTATCATAAAGCTTTGTTGTTAGATTACCATTAACGTCTTTTTCTAATAAAATATGCAAAGATGTGTCAGATTCTGTGGTATCTTTTATCTCAAGCTCACCGGGATATATCGTGTTGACATAAGAATGGAAAAAAACAAAAATAGGTCTGCTAATAACGGGGTGCAATTGGTACCCATGGGAATTCCAATAGATTGTTGGAAGACCTGGTCTCCAAAAACCACATAGATATTGTCAGTCAGAAACTCGAGCATCTTTTTGATGTCAACTTCAGAGTACTTAAGTGTACAATCAGATTGTTTTTTAACAAAGTAATTTTGCAAATGACCAATGACAAGGTAAGTAAATTTACGAGTTCCATTTTTATTAAAAAGCAGCTGTCAACGATGTCAGAAAGTCTGGACTTTAATTTGTCGTTGGGAATACTTGTATATAAAGTTGAAAAGTCGTAAGTTTTTATGTTGTTGATTTTGGTAAAATTTTGTGATTTTTAATGTTCCAAAAGTTCCTTTGAATTTTTTAGTATCCACATCTGATTTGCACAAGTTCTCGAATATATTGTTGCACAGTACTCTTGAAGTTTCTCCTTCACTACTGTTAATATCTTAGTGAGGAGTAAAGAAAGAGGCTTGGTAGAACATTTACTGGAACCCGCTATGTATCTTTGTAAGGATTTTTATGAAGTTTTGGAATCCAATATAGATATGGTAAGTAATTCAAATTTATTTTGGTTGTTTGGAATATTTAAAATGGATGTTTTAAGTACAATACCACACTAACATTGTGATACTACTACTAATAATAAAGTAATCGAATACTGACGATTCCGGCATGGATAAAGGCGAATGCTTTACATTGGTACCACAAGGAATTGGGCGTTTGAATTATTAATGTTGGCCGAGGCATTCTATTTAAGGGGGTTGACCTTTTGTTCTGGAGTTTCACCAAGAACAATAACATTGGATTCAAATGTTAAGAAATTGAAGTACGAAGCGGTGCTTACTTTTTTTCAGAAATTAGTTTTATAACTAATCATTACAGCTAAAAAAAAAAAAAATAAACTTAACATTCATTTGTGAACTAATTTAAATGCATAATTTGAAATAAAGTTATTGTTACTTAACAAAGGCGCAAACGCATACTCACAAACACACGCATATATATATATATATATATATATATATATATATATATATATATATATATCCTTGTAGTGAAGCAAAATGGTGCATTTGATTTTTATGCCCCGCCATGAATATGGCCGGGACATATAGTGTTTGTCATGTCCGTCTTCTGTCCTTCCATCCTTCCGTCTGCCCTTCCGTTTCGCTTTGTGTGTAGTTCAGTTCAAAGCTCAGTTTCAAAGAAACTATCCAAGATATTTTTATCAAACTTCATATGCTGATAGATATTGATGAGAGCTATGCAACTGCATCAACAATTTTTTTACCTTAATCTTTCCTTTGAATTTGACCTCACTTTTCCTAAATTAGTGTTTAGCTCAGTTTTAAAGATACCATTCAAGATATTTTTATCAAACTTCATATGCTGATACATACTGATGAGGGCTATTCAACTGCATCAACATTTTTGGACCTTGTCCTTTCCTTTGACCTTTACTTCATTTTTTTAAGTTAATGTTTAGCTTTGTTTTAAATAAACCATTCAAAATATTTTTATCAAACTTAATACGCAGATACGTATTTGTGAGAACTATTCAACTGCATCAAAAATGTTTGACCTTGAACTTTCCTGTGACCTTGACCTCACTTTTCTTAAATTTGCATTTTGCTAAGTTTTAAAGAAATCATTTTAGATTTATTTATGTAAGCTTATGCACTTATACATAATTTGGTGAGAATTTATCATCTATATCCAATTTTTTAGATTTCAATTTTAAAGAAACTATTCAAGATATTCTCATCAAATTTCATACATTAATACAAATTTTCATGTTGCATTACCATAGGGCATTCATGTCCTATGGACATATTTCTAGTCAGTATAGTGTTTTTCCAAGATAAGATGTTCTTCGGTACACAGACAATTCAGGAAAAAGGTCTTGCAGCATCAAAAGTTTAATGACGTGACGTTTCTTAGCCTGAACTAAGTGAAATGTGGGAATAAGGGTCCTCGACACGTCCAAAAGACTTTTAAACTAAGCTTGGTGATTTTTACAAACGTGAATCGACAATGCATTTAGAGCGAATTGCCCAAAAAGGTTGGGATTGTATTTCATCAATATCCAACAATTGGAAAGGAATTGTTTAGACGACGTTGTTACGAAGCCCTGGGATGGAAAGGGACAGGTTTCTCTTTTTAATGCCAAACCTGTGCCGAGAGGGTAAATATATACATAAAATCATGAGAAATTTGACTAGGTTGTTTGTACATAAGTATTCTCTGCCGCCTGAACATAAAGGTAACCTGTGAGAGAGAATGTTATAAATAGACGTAGTATCACCATGCCGTCGGATGAAAGACCAACAATAATAGCGAATCAAACAGACGTACAAAAAGGATCTTTAGACCACCATCACGGCCAGAAGCATTCAAGGTACATGTGAATGGATATGTTTGGAAGCTTCATAGCATCTTTGAGAGCGGAATACTGAAATAACATTAACTGTCAAGAAATCAAGTGTTCAACTACAAAAATGTAACAATAAGAGAACTTTACCTCACTAATGCACCAGGATATGTTTAGAACGTTTTAGACGGACAGGCTGAATGATGATTTTAGATCTTTTCAACACTATATACAACCATTCTCCAGGATAGATTAAATTCTAGGCTTTTTAACATCATAGCCAGATGCTTTTTCAATAAAAATGAAAGTCGTAAATATACTTACCTTGTCATTGGTCATTTGCAAACTTAATCATTCTGATTGTACACACAAGGTACTCTGAAGTTGATATTAAAAAGATGCTTGAGTTTTTGAATGACAATATCTATACAGTTTTTGGAGATTAGGTCTTCCAACAATCTTCCAATTGCGCCCCCTTAATAGCAGACCTATATTTGTATTCATATGAAGAATTTATTCAAAAACTTCTACACGAGAAGAAAACACTTGCAATATACCCTTATAACCTGCACATGAAGTTTTTGTCTCCCAGTTGATTCGATACGCAAGAGCAGGTTCTACATATGAACCATTTCTAAAACGAGACAAGCTATTTACAAACAAGATGATGAAACAAGGGCATCAACAGTCTAGTTTGAATCATCATTTCGCAAGTTTTATGGTCGATACAATGGCCTTGTCTGCAAATACAACCTTTCGTTAAATGAAATGTTGACTGACGTTTTTCATACTAATGCCATTATTTACACACTGCATTGTCTATGGATATTTCCGTTTTTCCCGATCATGACAAGGACCACACGGCGAGTGTGACATGTCAGCAGGAGATGCTCACTCCTCCATGGCATCTGATTCCACCCCTGATGTTTTTAGAGGTCCGTGTTTGCATTTGTAATGTTAAAATGGACTTTAAGCTTGAATACTGTTTGTTATCTTAATATTTCATTCAGATAAAAGAGAATTTATTCAAAAACGTCTACATGAAACGCATTCCGATGTTAATTCAGTATACTGTATCTCCTTGAACTCCAAATTAAAGACACCATAGAGTCGGACACACCTGTTTTTATGATCATATTTGGATATTTAACTAGAGCAAGACACTTATGGCAAACTTACAACTTAGACTTCTGATAAACATGAAGATCTCAACTTTTCTATCATCAACTTCCCTCATTTATGTAGCAATCTAATATAACCACTTGGAGTTTAACTATATGAAGTTTATGTCTCCCTGTTGATTATATACGCCAGAGGATGTCCTATGTACGAACGATTTCTAAAACAAGGCAATATATTGACGAATCAGTTGATGATACAAGAATATCAACAATCTCGTTTAATACCAAATTTCGCAAATTCTACAGTCGATACAATAACCTTGTTAGGAAATACAATCTAGCGTAAAGTCAAATGTTGACTGACGTTTTTCATATGTAAAATGTTAGGCCATTATTTACAGACTGCATTGTATACAGATATTTCCGTACCCGATCATGAAAAGGAGCACATGGCGAGTGTGACCAGTCGACAGGGGATGCTTGCACCTGATTTCATTTCTGATGTTTCTTAGAGGTCTGTATTTGCTCTGCTCCCAATTTGTATCGTTTCAATGGACTTTTGAGTTTTATTACTTGTTCCTTATCTTCATATTACATAATTGATAGTTAACTTTTTATAATTTAATTGTTTGTATTCTAGCCTCTGATTGGTTAATATCCAAAAAGGAACACAAATTATTTCTGTATAACCTGGTTTGGTATGGGGACACACCCCCCTGACAACAAGCTGAATCATCTGTATCCATACAATCCTCTCATTTCCAGTCCTCGGGATTCATGGAAAATTCCAGATTTAATAAATGTACCTTTAACTTCAAACAATAATTCGATCTTACCACATGTAAACAAACAACAAGGCTGCTAAGCCTATGTATCAGTTTTTACCTCCCCTTGCTTTCCATCACTTCCGTTACTACGGTTGTATTATTGAGCGGCAAATTTGAACTAATAAAAAGCAAAGAAATTTTACACCCATAGTTATTTAATGATTTTAAAATTAAATTATAAGGAATGACTCTAATTCTTGGCCAAATTATTCGAGTATAACCTAGTTTGGGTCAGTTTACGCTGTTTTATAATCCGCTTCGCGGATTATAAAGCGTAAACTGACCCAAACCAGGTTATTGCGGATTATAAAACAGCGTAAACTGACCCAAACCAGGTTATACTCGAATAATTTGACTAAGAATTAGAGTCATTCCTAAATTAACATATAACCCCCCCCCCTTCCCCCGGTCAAATTTCGCTGCTTAAATCCAAAGATGCAAAAAAGCATTTGGAATTGCTGAAAAAGCTGGATTGTTATTTTTTCTAGCTTAATTTTTTAGTATAATTTCAAATGCAAACAAAATTGTTCATTCAACTACAATAGTTGAACACGGGATACCATTTTACACTATAAAGTTATACGGTTTAATTCATATCGTACTTTTTGAAATTCCTGCACATCCAATTTTAAAAGTGAAACGACTAAATATAACTTGATCTGTATCTTTATTCTGATAACACAGTGAAAAATCAGTATTTTTCCTCTACCCTTGATATTATATCAGGACGAGATAATATCTGACACAAATAAAGATGTAACAAATATTAAAAAGAAACAAGATGCATGTATAATATCACAGTCGCTGTTATCTGCAAAATAACACTCTATGGAACAAAAATACTCTATTCTTATTACATAACGTACAGGCCAAATTCGATATCTCCTTTACTGTAAAAAAGAGATTGCATTGCACATTTAATGAGCCTGTAAACTACAAATTAAAAATAACTTCCACACGTACAAACAAAAAAAACTGCTTGGAATGTGTTTATCAGAGGATCAGAATGAATTCGGGATAACTTGGTGTGCAGAAGAATCAATGTTTGAAAAGGAGACCTGTAAAGGTACTATGATATAAGTGATATAAAACTGCAAGGATGTTATACGCAGAATACTAACTTTCAAACAGGGAAAATATCTTTCTATTATTAATTTATCCAATTACAGAAGACTGTTTTTCGTCGATACACAACTGATGTGAGACACACTATTATAATACTGATAATAAAACATCAACCAATCTAAAGCTTTGTATCTGAAAGATCATCCATATCTCCTTGTTTGCAAATAAGATGAAAATAACAAAATTCGTTGTTGACTACACACTACAAAATGACAATTTGGCACACATGATGTGCAATGCAATTGCACGACAAAATCACAGAACATTCGAATATTGAAAATGTTATAAGATAAATTTTAAAACAGCGAAATAATTAACAGTGTTAAGTTCAATACATTCTATTGTTTAATTGATAAGAGATAAACGTTACTCTTGCAAATTATGGTTAAAACCATTTCTATTGGAATTATAATCAATCGAACCATCAATGTTTACAGAAAAAACTATAATGTTCCAGTTCTTAATTGGCTTCAAAATGAGAAAAAAGCCTTTTAGTTTAACATGGAATCAGTTTGAAAGCATAAATCAGACTTCGCAGTGAGGTGCAGTAGAAAAGTTACTTCATTGTTTTCAAATAATTTCCAGTTTCATCATAGTCAAGATCACAGAAATATTGATTGATATGTCGAGAGGCCGTGAAACATGGATTTTAATCCATACAGGCAGATCTAGACAGTTAACATTAGATTTTACTTTCAAGGAATATTCAGAAATCTGTGTTATTAGCAACGGTTGATTTGCGCCTTAACATGTTTCAATGAAGGATGATACAGTGATTAATTAGGGTTAAAGATGTGCAATGATGGATAAAATACCCAGACATTGCTAGGAATTTACAAGGATTAACAATTATGGTAGATTTACTCGTTCTAATTTGTATAAGTGGTTGTAGCTTATAAAAGATCATTAAACTGCATTTACTTAGGACATCAAATTCCATTTTATGTTTTTCTCAGGTTAGATCATTAGCTCAGTTATTACATATAATCTACTTTGACAATGAAGGTTTTTCGCTTCAAAAGTATAGAATCAAACATCCACCCTACCTTTTGATAACTGCATATTTATACACTGGTGATTTGGTGACGAAAGACCTAAGAATTGTTCGAAGAGAAGCCAGCTAAACGTCTAGAATTGATAGGGACATCAAAAGATCTTAGACAATAGGCTTATGACTTTAAATGCACATTTCTAATGGAGTTAAGACATGTTCTTCAATACTGGAAATAGAATTCATCGTATACAGTAATTAAGCTGCCTTACTGGATCTTAGCCTAGATTAAACAGAGATTTTAGAAAATCTAAAAAAAACATTGTATTGATTTGAATACGAAATCAATAAAGGCAATCCTTCACTTCCTGCATTAACATATCAAAATATATTTTAATTACTCTTTGGTTGCATAATTATTAAACTTGCATTCATCTTGATAAATTTATATGTGTGATATGGCATGCTGAACATGATAATTGATCCCCTTACGAACTCCTGAAGTGATCAGTATATATTTCAAGATAACCCAAGATTATATGAACGAGACATGAAAAATAAAACATTAAAAACAAGAACTACCAGGTTTTTCATCTAGATTTTCTATCTGATAAACGCATTCTTTAGCCCTATCTGTATGATGCACCACAGTTTCAATTTTCGGCAAATTTTCACTGCTTGATTGCACATTTGAAGCAGGTTCTTCAGACATGTTTTGGGAATGCATACTGGTTGATTCTTTTTGTGAAATAGATAATTCCGATCTTGATTTCTTTCCCTTCAGTTTATATCGTGTTTCAGCTTGCAAAGGTACTGTTAAAAATTGAATCACACCACCTTTACCCTCAGACAAGGGCGAATCATTACCACCTGTTGATTGCGTCCTTTGCTTCTTTTCTCTCTTTAATTCCTTTGCTTTAAAGAACCTCGTTCCTAGAAAACTGGCACGGCGTGGAAGATTGCCTGTTTCGGTTTGACTTTGATCAGAATCACGGCGGTCTATAGAATTTAGATTTGCGCCCACACTCTCTGAACGTTTTCTATCCGTGAAGCCTGCAAATCCTACCCGTAATCCGAACAAATTAGAGCCGGATGGTAATTTCCGTAATTTTTCCATTTTACCATTTGGCATTTCAAGAGAATCTTTATGGATACTTTCTCTAGATTTCGATTTTCGTTCCTCCGTAATTTTGTGTAGTTTTCCAGTAAAGTCAAACTTAAATTTCTTTTTTCTACGTGAACTCTTTGAACTTTCTGAGCTGTCATCTGAATCTTTATCCTCGTCCTCACTCGCACTTGTGACAACTGGTGTCGATTCCATAACTATCTCGTTTACCAACTTTTGATCTTCCTCAAGGTCAGCTCTGCTACTAACAATGCTTGGATTTTTGCCAATTTTGGTTAATCTTTCAGCGGCAACACTTTCCATAGTTCTGCGCATGAGTGGATATCTTTCTAATACTGTATTAAAATGTTCAACAGACAACGAATAAAGATTCACGTAAGTTTCTGCACGTACACTAGCAACCCTTTTGGCATTTGTGAGTAAGCATATTTCTGTAAATACAAAGTAAAGTGCTTATTGAACATTTTAAACATAATAAGAAAGCAAAATAACAGAAGAATGACATTATGATCGTGCAAATTATGTATACGTGCGTAATTATTCACAGCAATTAAAAAAGAAAGCTTTTTTCCTTTGCCTTGATGCCATAAATAACTGGTAGGTAGGCAACATACCACCAAAGTATGAGCCATCAGACAGAGAAGTGGCGATCTCGCCATCTTTGGTGATAATGTCGACGATTCCCTCTTGAATGAAGTACATTTTTGTTCCCATAGTTCCTTCTTTAATGATATAATCCCCAGGTTGAAAGACTTCGAATTCCAATTTACTGATTACCTCAGAAACAAACTGGGGATCAGCATTTGTGAAAAATGGCACGGATTTCACCAAGGCTCGACAGTTATGGTTGATAACCTCCTATGAATATAATAGCATGTGCTCATTATCTTGAAGCAATTTAATTTCTACCCTTGGTACAATTAATATGAAAATTAGGTACTGTTTAATTATAATACTGATATAAGATGCTGAATATGATATTCATTTGTCTAGTTTTGGTGTTTCACAAAGTATCGCTACGGAGAGAATTTTACATATTTTTTGCCCATGTTGATCAATGTCTGATCTTTGTCAAAAATGCGTATGAAATTGACAGTTTCATGGTCAGAGTCTGTAACAAATGATTCCTTATTTGTGGATACAATTAAGTTTCACGTATTTATCAAGCCCAAAGCGAATGATTACCATCACAAAGGAGCAAGCGGGAACCGTTTCTTTGCGGCTAAAATTCCAAAGTTTAATCATGTTACTGGCATTTCACAGTCGTTTTAAATTCAGATTATTTCAAAAATAGCAGAACCAAAGGATACCATAAGAGGATCTTTCAAATTATTAAAGCAAAACCTTATAAAATACTATAGTATGTGATCTGATTACAAATTTACATATACAGCAGTTTGTTTTCTCCCCCCCTCCTTTCTCTCTCTCTCTCTTGATAGGCCAATTTCAACGTAGAATAAGTCGCCCGCGTGGCGCAGTGGTTAGAGCGTCTGCTCTAGAGTCGCGTCGCGGGTTCGAATCCCACTGCGGGACGTGGAGACCGGTCCTTCGGGTGAGACCGTATAAACAGAGGTCCTGTGTCGCAGTAGGTGCTGGCACGAAAAAGATCCCTCACTGCTCAATGGCCCTAAGTGCCGAGTATAGGTCAAAATTTGTAGCCCTCCACCGGCAAGTGGTGGCGTCTCCATATGAGTGAAAAATTCTCGAGAGGGACGTTTAAAAAACAAACAACAAACGTAGACATAAAAATTTATGTTTTATATATAAACACTTTAAGTGAAAAAACGTAGAAAACATGTTTAATTAATACTTGTTAAATTGATTTAGAAATATATAATTGTGTTATGTTGGAATCGTGAAGAATACAAACCTGACGAAGACACTCATTTAATTCAACCAATATATTGTCTTCATCAAACATTTTGCCTTGATAACGATGTTCATAATACTCCGATATCCTTTGTCGTAGTTTTCTGGGTAACTTTCTGTATATCATGTATTCCTCAACTTGTTTAAACTGAAAATACATGAGATTTTAGCGTACCTTACATAATATTTGCAGCTTCTCTTTTCTTTGATATTTAAATTTTATATGGTCTAATGTTCAGTAATTCTTACTTCGCCAAAAAGAGGGATTTTCCCAATCTATACAAAAGACATTTATTTCAAAACATCTTGCATAAAAGGAGTTCAATAAGGCCAACAATAAAAAATGATTTGTTTGATGTACTTTATCCAACCAACCCATTAAAATTGCCTCTACCCAATCATTTTTTTTTCAGTACTTCAATTTTTTTAATAGATTATCTATTGTTTTTAAAGTTAAGGACATACGCAACGTACCTTACCCACAGATAATTTTTCAAGATATTCTTAATGTAAGATTATAGTGCCATCAGATGTTCGTAGACAAAAAATCAGCATGCATTACCAGGGATTTTGAAAAGATATCAATTGATGAAAATTCTTGTATATTTCAAAGAAAAATATACTAAAATTACTAAACATATATTCTAGATGTTTTGTTTATCCAAACTTCTTTTAAAAGAAGTGTACAACAGCATACATAAACATTAAAATGTAGCACACAGTTCCTTTAGGTATTTGGATCTCTTCAACTCCAGGAAAAGGGCAATAAAGTTCAAACTACGTTACGTATGTCCTTAAGGTCTATCATTTTTCTAAGATACTTTTTGGATTAAAAGATTTTACAGAAATAGATGATTTATTTAATTGTTTAACTGTCAGGCGTCTATTAAAGTGAAAATTTCTAAGTCTGTGGTTTTTAAGCAATCATCAAAATGTGAGACGATATTAAAAAAAAAACTACCTACCTACCCACCTTGAAAAATGTTGGTCGGAGTACATCAAACAAAAAATAATAATGATGGCCTAATGAAGTAGTGTCTTCCTTGTTATCTATATAATAGTATGTTTATGACTGTCAGAGAAGATAAGCAGCTCGCTTAACGAGATAGGCAGAGCATTAAAGTAAATTAAACTAGTTAACTTGATATTCTTACGTCATTGGACGATAAAAATTTGTCTTTAAAGGGATATTTTTTACAATAAGAAAGACCTTTGAAATTTTTCATAGATTCCTTGTGCTTCCCTACAATAATATCAAAATTTTCCTAAAAATCTTGCAGTGATCAAAATTCAAAATTAAAAGATCAATATCCCACTTTTAAATTATCATTTTAAAGTTGCATTTTGAAAATTGTGCAGGAAAAAATCGATCGTGACATCCCAATACAAGATAAACATTTAATAAAATAGAAAATATTCCAATAAAAATGTATTAAATTTTTTGCTTTCCAAAAGCTTTCCACATACCATTATTTCGATGCTTTTTGTACATGTAAATTGTTGTACCTTTTCATTATAAAGCCGTCGTGAGGTGTCAAATGATTGAATGATCGTTGTTGTATGTCCGAGGAAAAGTGCATAACAAGTAGCACCACTAAGCATGCTCAAAATAGTCAACCACGTGTCTGTCATATTTTGTGGCGGGAAACGTCCATATCCGATACAGAGCATGTGGGACAAAGCTTTAAATAACGCCCATGTGTATTGTGTAAACCATGAAGCATTCTGAAATAAATAAAAATACGGTATTTGTAGTCTATTCTTATCAAATCAGTTCCTTAGTGAGAGAGAATACTGAAGGAATTACTCTGGGTTTTGTGGTCCTTTATAGTGAAATTTTAGTGAATTCAGAAAAAAGTAAAAGTTTTTTAATGATTGGAAAATTTATATTCAATATGAAAAACATTTGATCATGCCTTCCTCTTTGAAAGAACAAATTTGCAATCACTCTAAGAAAATTGAGTGGATCGTATTTGAGATTGGTCTCGAGAAACGCTGCATGCAGCAAGGTGTTAATAAATATCAGCACGTTAAGACTAATTAGTGCACAAGTCTTTGAAATTGAACCGGTTTCCCCCAATTTCATTGTTTTTTAAATCCTTTTTATATTTTTCTGCTCGAGAACGATATTCTAACACTCCCCCTTTTCACACACAATTATTTGAATCTCTGTGTATATCTGGCATATTGTGGTTTTATCCCATTAATCTTTCATTTATAAACTTCACCACAACGTTGCCATTTTGATGCTTCATTAAATATGAATATCATGATTTTTTTTTAGCCTTTCATGGCTACATTCCCGTTGCTTTTTGGCTTCGATGTATCGACTTTCCTATTTTAAGAGTGTTAAAGATTGTTTCTGAAGTCAGATAATTACACAAATGGCATATTTTTAGTGAATTTTATTTCTGGCTTCTAACAGTTGTACCTTCAATTCTTCAATGGAAACCCAGCAGTCTTTTGGAAAATCTTCTAACATTGGCACTAAGAACTGCAAACACCCATTCCAGTGGCCGAGTAGTAGCATAAGACATATCAGATTAAAGATCCGCATAAATTTTCCAGCTACAGCAAGAAACTGAAATAGAAGCAACAGGGAAACTGTTAACAAGCCGTAATTTGTGTGTATTTATTTCCAAAAAACTTCATAGTAAAGAAAAGCGCACATATTATCAACTCATTCATCTTGAAATACAGCCTAAATAGATTGGGGAGGGAAGTGGAATGACAGCAAAGGTCAAAGGTAATTGAGTTTTTTGAAGAATTTTGCAATATTATATGAACCAAAGTTGCTGAAATAAGAAACTCTCAACAAATTAAAAAGAATACAAAGCAGTGAAACAGGAGGCAGTGTACTGAGAACTGCAAAAGCAGGTGCTGCAAATGTATGTAACACAAGTCATGGAATGATATTGCTATCTCTTATTCATATCTGACATTCGGCCAATTGTTTTCAAGGAATAAAATATAAATATATATAAATCATTTCATTTTACTTTTGATCGTATTATTTACAACAAAGACTGGTATGAAAACAACGAACTGAAGCAAAACACAGATCATGCCACATACGATAGCCAGCGCATGCCTATGGTGGACTGGTTTTCACAGTTCAAATCAGAGGAGACTTCTAGTTATCATCGACTGAGAAGACAATCATTCCAATATACTATTTAATATATATCTTTACTCAAATTCAGTTTTAATCCATCGTGCATTTCTAAAGAAATTATTTCTTTTGGTGCACTATAAAGTCCAATTTGGTCAAGAAGGCCTAGACCATTTCATCCAATCAGAGACTGCCTATAACTCACCCCAGGTCGTTTTCGGCGTCCACACATACCCAAACAAGGACAGGCTTCAAACTAATCGGAAATAAATCATGAGTACATATAGGTAATGCTTAAATCCAAATGAGGACGAAAATTGCAAAAATGTTTTGCGCCGTAGACTGAGTAAAAATAAAGACATTTGGGTAAAAACTGTTCTCAAAATAAAAGAAAACAGAAAGGCTACATGGAATCGTCAGTTTTTGTAGTAGGGTTAGGACACACGTTTTGGTACGTATGATGATTAATGAAATATTAACAATATGTATGCTCATTAATCTATGTGATTCCCTATGTTCACTACTTCTACGCGATTGCTTTAGTTCGGTCACATATGTTACTCCACAAATTTGATGTCGCTAAGGATATATATTGATACTTGAAAGCACAAAACTCACCTTCTTAGTTTTTAACAGCTGGAAAGCCAAATAAAAAGACACATTTGTGAGATTTGGGATTCTAGACAGTTATTGATTGAACAACGACAAACTCACCGTGTATATCCCAAAATGTGGGGGTGTACTATGTTTTGCACGGGGTGTATGCTTTCAAAGCGTTAGAAAGGGGGTCGAGGTACGTTTTTTGTCCAGTTTCTCAATTTATGCATATATTTCGCCGGATTCGCATATGTTTACGGAAGAAAGATTTATTTATTATTTGAGGAGTATATGGATACCTGTGAGTCCATTGTATGCTCTCCTAGTTTCATCGAACTCCTCAACACAATTCCGAAGATCAGAGCAAGATTGATGATACATTGTGTTTTGTCATCACTTTTATATTATTGTTAAACACGTGTTATCTATATTAATGTATGTATAAATTTTGTCTGTAAATAAAATAGTTCGTATTTAAAGATATTACCGAAATATCAATGTTGATCTCGGGGTGTATGCAACCTGTTGGACCCTGGGGTGTATACACCCAATTTTTCCTAATATCATGGTGCGTAACATCGTTAAAAATATAACGAATACAAGTGAATGTTTTGGTAGTTCTATTTAATGTTTTATATATTACTATACTCAAGGTGCATGGAATTGCTAACTAATCCAGATGTTCATCTAATGAATATTTAATATGCATCATTTTAAAAATTAAAATTTATGTCTTTCATAAATTCTGCTTAAAATATTTATTCATTATTATAAATGACTGAATAAAAACTAGTAGCTTTTTTGGTCTTTTTAGAATATCATAAACGTTGCACAATGTAAACAGACCCCACTTCTGTTAACAGGGATAAGTTCCTTACATGTATTTCAATTATTTGTTCAAATGTTTTTAACAGTGATGTAGAAGTGATGATGTGGCGAAGTTGTGTTCTGATATTTGATCATAAACCCAATGTAGCGTCAATCTTGCTCTGATCTTCGGAATGGTATTGAGGTGTTTGATAAAACTAGAAAGTGTAGAGTAGTTTCATAGGTATCCATATACACCTAAAATAATGCTTTCTTCCGTAAGCATGTGCTTTCCGGCCAAATGTATCCATAGATTGAGAAATTGGACAAAAAACATACCTCGACCTATCGCTTTAAAAGCATACACCCCGTGTACAACACAGTATACACCCCGCATGTTGGGATATACACGGTGAAACTGTACTGTTTATATCAACAGTTGTAATACACTGTACACGTACTAGTACGTACTCGACAATTATGGATTGTATATATCATAAATATTCTTGAAGTTTGTTTTAAGAGAATACACATCGATTACGTACGAAGTATAATACATTAAACAACGTTTAAAATTCTTTGGGTAGGGTGCACAATCAAAAAACGTGGGAATAGAACTCTATAAAATGACAAGATTGATTGTATTTTGGTACGTGGTACCGTTTTATACCATTACCATGCATCCACAACAGTGCACACGAACTGAGCCCAAAGATTTGGAGTTCAATACACTCATGCAGAATATGGATCTTGGCGAAAATCAGTTAGTATTTAAAAACTGTACTCATCACTTCCCTCCCACTTTTTAACAGAGTAATCAGTAAATAATTTATTGAAATCTGGAATTTAATAACTGTTGTAGTAATGCTGATAAGACAAAATATATGACAGTGCAGACGACAGAATGACTTTTTTCTTCCGATTCTTACCTCTTCCCACTGTTGTACGTATCGTACCAAACGAGACAATCGCAGCAATCGTAGAAGACTTAGCAGCTTTGCCAAACGCAAAATCCTTAACGCCCTTCCTACAATTAAAAAATCATGGTTACTCATCAGATACAATATCTACTTTATTTTACTAATAGCATAATTTTATTTAACATATTTGTATTCGTTAACTACTTTATTTCGCTTCATTATGAAATATTAAAAATCATAATCAGTACATTCCATGATCTATATATTTTTAAATCTAATATCAAAAATTAAATGAAATATATATGCAGATCATGCTTCAGTACGTTAGGTGCAACAATGGAATTTTACTAAAAATGCAATATGTAATTATGAAATACGATACGGAAAAAAATATAGGAGATGAATGAAAGTCCGTGTTTTATGCCCCGTTCACAGATTTGTTTGTAGATTTTTTCTTTTTAGATCGATCACTGTTCGTTACTTTCACCAGTTTCATGCAAAGCCCTCAGAAAGGCGCGGGTGCGTTGGAGGGAATGCACCTCCCTCAATAAAATCGAAAACATCGTAACTGAAACAAATTCAATATTTATCTCTTTAAAAAATGTAATGAGAAAAAACAATACATCTAGAATGCACCAGAACCAACCAAAACGGCAATCACATAAAATAATTTTTGCTCAGGGGAAGGTTTACCCCTCCAAAACCATCCCACGTACCTCCTTTCCTCAAACGTGATGCCATTTCAATCGATTTTTTCATAACTTCTAGCTAAATTATTAAGTACATATATTCTCCCTTTGGACCCATGTGAATCGTCTTTCTTTTAACGGGAGAGGGTTGTTGGGGGTGGGGGGGGGGGGGAGGGGGTGGGTAGACTTCTACATAAATCAATGGAAAACAATAAAGCATATATATATATATATATATATATATATATATATATATATATATATATATTACCCCTACTGTGCTTCTCAGGGTTTCCATCCCTTATTTGCATCAACTTAAGTCTACACTGAAGGAAAAATCTACATTAAATGGATAGTCTTTCAAATACAAAATAATTATGACACTTTATCATATCTTTAAGAAATGAGATATTAAATAATGATTTGGGATTTGGGTACCATCTATTCTAAAATGAGATCGCAAGTTCTCTTAGCAGAAGTTAAATGAAGCACTACATCATCTTGAATAAGTAGTTACAAGAACATCAAAATCAATTTTACCATTGAAACTATAATTGTACAAAAAATTAATATTAATGGATTTGAAAAACAGTTTTCGTCTGCTATAAATGATGGACAATTGCATTATAAATGTATTATGACTTTAAAACAAACCAACTTGCAGATGTATGTTAATAATTACTGCATTTAAAACACTGTTAATTATATCAATCGCATATTGATAAATCAGTATGTAGTTAATTGTTTACAAATAGAATAGAAATAACTACTTATGTGCATGTATAAAATTTCCAAAAAATAGTCCCTCGCATGTTTATCCTAGATATTACTACTCTTAACGATATAGGTTTATAGATTTTAATAAATACATCTTTCTACGAGAGGTCTCCTCTTTTTGCAGCAATTTAAGATTTTTTGTGGTTTTAAAAACAATTGTATTACTAGAGTACTATAAATAGCTTGAATTTTGATTTTCCGCATTTAAAAAAAAAATCAGAGCCTTTAGCTGAACAAAAACTGTCTTAAACACAATGAAATACCCTGTTTAGACAACACAAAGGAATCTAGAAATTCAGCCATATTTACAAGATTTAAAAATATACAATTCACGAAATACGAAATTTAAGTCTAGAATAATGATACAATTTTAATAAAGGATGAAAGTAGAAATCGTGGTAACAACATCGAAAAAATACACTCCAGCATGCAAAGAAAGTGAAGTGAAACATTCAACGAAATCAACATTTTTTTTCTCCATTTTATATAGCACATAACAAATACATGTACACACAATAGTCATATAAAGAACACCGACATAGGTCCTGAAGAAACCCCGGTGCTTATCAAAACAAAAATCACTTACAAATCTCTTCCTTCCATACGTTTTAATTACTATAACCTCCTAGGAAATCCAAGGCGACCATTCTCAATAATTTCTCAGCTTATATAAAAGATTTCTATTAAACGTTGTAATGATTTAAAAAGGTCTTGAATATATAAAGTATGTATAAATAAAGCGTAGAAATCTAAGCTTAAATAAATAAATTAAAAAAATGAAATTGAAAGTAAATTATATCTAGTTGGATAAAGGCATTTGCTTTATGTCAAAAGACTTTTTTTATTTCAAAAGAATTTGAAATTATAAATGTTGATCACATTAAGGTGATTATCTACTATCGTCAATAAACCTCAGCGTTAGTGCACACAAAGCAGTCAACATTCTGAAGTTTTATAGCAGCAATTTAAACAAAGACAAGCCTTCATCGGATTAGAGGTAAATAGTTAAGAGTTGTAATCATCAATATTCCTGAAAATTATTTTTCAAAATATGCACTATCAAAAATATAAAATATTTTTACTAAAAGGGTGTAAATTTTTGCAAATTTCGTTGTTTGATAAAGTTTCCTATAAAAGAGTCTAATATACATGTATATATTTAATTGATTCAGAATTGCAAATATATGTGAAAGTTTCCAAAACAATTTGCAAAGTTAGTACCGAGCTATCTGAGGAAGGCTTGTAAAATTACAAACCCCGAGAAAAGCTGATACAGTTACGTGAAAAGGTTAAATAAAGGCAGGACAAACGAAAAAAAAAAACAAGTCACGTGATATAAGAGAGAGAATTATGGGAATGATCACCTTGCCAATAAGAGCCGGCATCCACTCGCGAGCTCGTACCTGCATGGATCATTTGGTAAAAGTCGGCCTCAGAATCCCACCAGAGAAAAATATAATCCATTGGAATACTACTGATGAGATCAAGGAAAAACCAAGACTTCACATAATGCTTGGCTATCAACTTGGGATCTAAAATGATTTCGTCAGCGAAGTCATTCAATATTATACCTGTAATTAAAAAAAAGATGAACAATAACACAATACATACGAGTACTATACAAAATTATGACCTAAATATATAATCAAAATAACAGTCTGGGGTTTCAGATTCAATTACTTTTGTAACTCTGACTAAAAAAATTTGACTCATGATTATGTCCTGAAGCACGCCCTCTACATCTAGTGAAAAATATTTTAGTCAAGTATTGGCTTCTACAATCCAAGTAATGATGACCGGGACAAGCCATTCCCTATGATTTATGTTTTCAAATTTTACTTCGTTAAAAATCACTCTGACTACACGAGTACTCTGAAGTTGATATTTAAAGGATGCTGAAGTTCCTCATTGACAACATTTATGTAGTCTTCGGAGACCAACAAACTGTAGAAATTCCGATGGGCACTAAATGTTGTCCTTTATTAGCCGACCTGTTTTATATTCCTATAAAGCAGAATTTATTTTTAAATAAACTTCTATAGGAGAAGAAGAAAACACTTGCTGTGGCCTTCAACTCGACATTTAGATATATCGACGACGTATTATCAATTATTAATAGTTACTTCCATTCGACTCGATAAATCCCACAGACCTCGAAATAAAAGACACCACAGAGTCTTCCACATCTGTTTCATATTTGGATGTTTTACTGAGTATAGACAATAAGGACCAACTAACAGCTAAATTGTATGACAAATGAGACAACTTTCATTATTTATGTAGTAATATCCCGCTATCGCCTGCTTATGGTGTTTACATCTCCCAACTTATTGGATGCTCCGAGTACGATCAATTTTAAAACTGAGGCAGGCTATTGACAGATAAGTTGATGTTATTACAGAGATTCCATCAACCTCGTACAGAGTCAGCATTTCGTAAATTCTTTGGTCATTCTAACGACCTTGTTACCATATATAACCTAACATTTGTTCTTATTTTGGCTGATGTGTTTCATCTTCGGAATAGTGGACCGTGACCGTGTTTCATACCAATTGTTAGGCCTTTTTTATACTGAGTTTGACTATGGAATGTTCCGTCTTCCTGATCAAAACATAGGGCTTACGGCGGGTGTGACCGGTTAACAGAGGTTGCTTACTCCTCTAGGGCACCTGATCCTACCTCTGGAATTTCCTGGAAGGGGGGGGGTCCGTGTTTTATGTCCTCTTCACAGACGTGTATTGTTTATAGATTTTTTAGATCGATCACTGTTCGTTATCTTCACCTTTTTCATTAAGAATCACGACACAACCACTGGCAATATGAGCAACCTTTATGTTTCTTTAATCTTTGAAATACATAGTTGTGACTTAGAAAGTATAAACGTTCCAAATACCGGCACTGTAAATCCCGATGGACTTTGCTTTGTCCTGAAGACTTTATATCAGTTTCACTTAATATCTTTTATTTCTTCTAAAAGATATCTTTTAGCTCAATTCTGTGCCATTTCATAAAACTATCCTCGGGGGATTAACATTATCGTGATACCTATAATATATATAGGTAAAAATAATTCATACCTTATGTGAAAATGATATTATTCTCATGAGTTTTGCTTGATTGAAAATTTTAATCATTGATTTCAAGTACATTGTACTTTACAATCCTGTACAAGTAATGTTTTTTTTTATTGATTGTATGTTGTTTTACGTCCCGTTCGAGAATTCTTCACTCGTATAGAGACGCCACCATATACCGGTGTAAGGCTTCAAATTTAGACCTTTACTCAGCACTCAGGGCCATTGAGCAGTGAGGGATCTTTATCGTGCCAACGCCAGCCGTGACACGGAGCCTCGGTTTTTAAGGACCCGCAACTTTCACTTCAAAGTGCCGAACGCTTGGCGAAGGAACAGTTGCTACCTATTTTTAATCGACTTAGGTCAGTCGCGACCATGATTCGAACTTAATTACGACCTTAAAATTTCGATCGCGGAGCGAGCGCTCTACCGACTGAGCTACCATGACGGTAACTATTTTATTGTTTATTTGTTTTGTCCTAGCCTAATATTCAAGGAAAGGGTAAAAGTTATTTAAACTAAATTAATTTTTTTAACTTATAAGATTAAAAAAAGGAACAAATACTAAGTTACAAACTGGAAAATATAGTTTTGATGTTTTATTTTTTTTTTCTGAAGTGCTTTAAACGCATATTCAACATGGCAGAGGATCAAAAATCAGCGAGGAGCCAATTCCGGAAAATCGTTTTCACAAATATATGGAGTGTGAGATCTAAACATATAAGTGATTATGAAGGACAATGTATATATTCACGCTGGTATATAACACGAGGTATTATATCATGTAGCTACCATGCCTACTTGTGCAACACTCTCCCGATGGAGTTCAATTTTTGTGAGATAAAACTGTCAAAAATATATACTTCAATCGATTTCAATTCCGTGGTATTTGGAGTGGCAGCATTGGAGGTAAAAGAGATCCTTATCTGCCTCTTTCACATGATCCTATGATGTTTGGAATTAAAACATAGCAATGGGAGTAAGTGCTGCTTACTGATATCGTGAAAAGTTGTTACCCCTAAAGAGGGAACATCTATGTATTCAATAACACGTGAACTAGGTATATAAATATCTAGCATATAATTTATTAAGCAGTGTATGGATTTGAAAATTAAACTTTTTTTATTGGCTGCTTTTTATTTGACCTGTCAAAGTGAAAACATAAATTACCAGACACTCTCCTTAAAAGAACATTTAACTAGTTTTTCCCGTTTTTAATTTTCTTTCATTTTTTTCGCTTATTTTATATTATTTCGTATCTTTGTTTGATTGTTAATAAAGCCATATATTTCCTGAGGCATGATAAGTTGGCAATCATTGTTATGGCAAATATAAAGTGACATAAAGTTTATCTATATAACTGAATTTTTTTCTGTTATCTTGCCCTAACCAGGCAAATATTAACAAAACTTTTTATTGGGAAAAAAGTAAAATTTATTTTTCATAATTTGTGATGAAATCAACTCGTTCTTCTTTTGCCTGAGTTTAATGAATTGTGATATAATGAGTGCAATATATCACTTGAATTTTGAAGAAAAAAATGTTCTGAGACTACTTGTTCGGCCTTTTACCAATTTTGACTGCAGGTGTTCTGAATAGTAAGATATAAAGACAAACTCTAAAATGTTCTATTTTTCAGTTGTTTGCACAGAGCTTATATACAGTCTGAAAGTGCCATTTTCTATTCAAAAGAGAATAAGAATCACAGGGTTCATTTTCTCACCAATAGGTTTTCGCTCTATGGAAATAAAATATGGAGATTTTCAAAATGTTTTAACTGATAATGTAATTGAAGGAACCAAATATTTAGCAATACAATTTCGATATATCTTATCAATTAGGGCGTACCAAATTATTGAACGAGACTTTCTCAAGACTTCATAAAAACTATTTTTATTGAGTAAGTTTTGTAGCAAACAAGATTAATAGGATCATTAAACTGTGCTACAAAATTAATTTGAAGATGTTCGTTCATAACAATCGTATTTCCGTCTAAACACCCACCATCTGTCGTAATTTGTCAACTGTGTTCTCACTTATCCATATTTTAGGACACAACATAACTATATTGGTATGATAAATCACTCCGTGAGACGAAAAAAAATGATGAGAATTGATTTTTGATGTGCTTTTTTTAAAAGGAAAATTAATATACTAAAACAACATGCATCTGAAAAGTAATTTACATCCAATTTGTCAATATACACTGTAACAATAGATTTTTATGAATAAAAATAGAAAAGGAGATATTTTATGTCAGCAATTGTTGCAGAACATCTACAGAATCCAAAAAATGACTTACCTGTTCGGAAATTGATTATAATATCCAAAAAGAAAACAGTGTCTGAAATACAATTGAATGCGATCCATTCAGCGGTGAGATCATTGTTGAAGAATGATATGGCTACTGGTAAGATTATAAGGTTTGCTAGTAGAAGTACCAACATGAATAGATCCCAATAGAACCTGTTAAAAAATAAATATATTTAGATACCAGTAAAAAAAGTTAATGCAACGTGCTAGTAAACCACAGTTTATCCGTCGTCAGTCCGTTAACGTTTTACATTTTTTAACCAACGGGCCAACTCCAACCAAATTTGATACAGAATACATAGGAAATTCCTTTTAATAAAAGGCCATGCATCATACCAAGGGAGTTGGTAAAGAAAAGGCAAGAAAAGGAGTGAAGTAATTTTAAAACCTTCTTATCAACTAGAACCAATAGACCATACAGAAAAAATAAAACTTATATGCAGGATTGTATTATATAATTCTAACGGGTAGGCGCGTACGTATTTGGGCGTTGGAGCTTTATATGAAATATATATCTCGGTTAAGATTTGTCATACAGTATTAGTATGCAAGCAGCCTTGGATGCATTTTTTCTTCCAAATCATGGCCCCAGAGGAAGAATAATGCTATAATAGGGGGTTAAAGTTTTTCATGGGATTAAATAGGAAAAAAAATCTTTGAAAATCCTCCTCTCAAAAACAACTGAGCTCGTGAAAATATCCAAAAGTCATGTCTCACTAGTAAAATAAATTCCATATCCAATTACAAAACACAGAATATCCTCTTTATTTGCACATCTTTAAAATATAAGTATTACTAATTGATCTGCAAAATAAAAAAGTTTTCATGAAACTGAAAGAGGAGTTATCCGAACAAATGATGTACCCTATATGCAATGTTTTGCAAAAATGACTGCTTTCGATTCAACAGCTTTTTTTTTTTTATACATTATTGAAAATCAAAATCAAATGCAATATGCATATTTCTAATAAATGTATGATTTATCTTCAAAATAAAAAGTTCCTCTCTTGAAAACTGTAGGAGGATTTATCAGGTCAAATGATATTTCTTTCTTGCAACCGGCCTCCATTTTATTAACCAGATTTTCCTATAGAAATCCGGTTTAAAACTTTTTTTTCCTTAATACTTCCATGAAAAAAATGATTCTCTGTTGTGCCCCCAACCTACCTCTGGGACCATGGTTTTAACAAACTTGAATTTACTCTTTGTAAGGAACCTTTCAAACAAGATTCATCTTTTCTGGCTTAGCGGTTCTTGATAAGAGATTTCTTTTTCATTTTCTTTCTTAAATTAAACTTAAAATCCCTCAAGCAAATCAGTTTCTTAATTTGTAGAAAGAGATTATGGTCCTTCATATGAACAAGCTTTAATTCCATTCACCAAAAGAATGATTTGTGGCAAGTTTGGTTGATTTGTTTGGCTCTGTTGTTCTGGAGAAGCCGAAAATGTGAAATGCTATTAGACGGACGGACAGACATACGACGGATGACAGGTGATCAGAAAAGCACACTTAAGCTTTCCGTTCAGCTGGGCTAAAAAATATTAATATTTTTATATGAAAATCTCCAAGTGAAAAAAAGAGGAAAAAATCAATAATTATATAGTAACTGCACATGCTAAAGCGAGAAGCAACATGTCTTAGTTCAATCAGTTCAAAGCATATTTAATTTCTTTATTTTTATCCCTTCACCGGTTATGACTTAAACAAGAGGCCTAAAGTCCTAAGAAGTCACCTAAATATTAAAAGCGTTTCTCCAAAACCAGCTACATGCAATGGCATGTTCCTTTTGATGTACACGTTTCTTTTGCTCTATACTACGAATTTACGACCAAAACATAAATTTTATACTTTTCTTCTTTTGTAATTAAGGAACTTCATTGTTTAGTTATATAGCTTCAAGAAGAACCTCCCAATGACCTTAAAATAGAATCAGTAATGTACGCAACAGAAATTTGATTCTACAGCTTTGTATCAAGATGTTTCTCCATTTCTATTAGCATGTGCACTTGTTTCGTGTACAGGGCACTCCTATTTACATGTATTTTTATCACCAGGTACCTACCTCAATTTCAGGTACACCTACTTCAAGCCAGTATTTTATTAATTTATTAATCATGTACCTATTTTAATAAGTCGTATTTTGCTTCTAGAGTCTCTTTTCTTTTCAAATATATTGTTCCAGACGTCCTTTGTCTTGCCTCTTTATTGTAAACAACTTATTTATGTCTCGAAAATTACCACACAACATTTTAAGAATGACATGGGATACAACGACTTCCAGTTAGAGTTAAAATATACGATAAAACCAGAGACTTCAGAATGAGAAGCTCGGAAGTCTCTGGTTTTATCCAACACTTTAAGCCTAACCGGAAGTTATTATATCCCATCTAAAGTCTGGATTTTTTTCTAAATCCAATCAATAGGTTACTCATAACCGATAGGTTGCTTATTTTGTCGAGGTCATTCTTTTACGATTTCAATAGAGAAATCATTGTTTCAATACAATCCTGCATATTTTGTTTGATTCGTTTACAGTAGGAAAGAAAAAGATTTTCCAAAGTAAACTGAAAATCTCAATAAGATATTTATTAAGCGCTTTTTAAGGTCCTAAACCCTGCACATAAAGGCCATGAAATAAAGTTTTGCTTAAAGGATTATTGCTCATTATGACTAATTCAGGCTCCCTAGATCTCCTCGGGGTCTGAACCCTGGAGTTATATTCATCGTGAAAATATAATTCTCTGCTTAACAGTCGCACTAAAAAGATTTCCAAAATTTAATGCGTTTTCATTGTATACACATAATCATTAATAAACACTCTAGGTCTTAACCGTGTACCAACAGGTTACGAATTTTTAAACTTTGGTTCAGGATTCATCACGCATTTTAATCATGCAAACGGGTTATCTGCTTTGCTTATAATAACCAAGATGATGCTCCAAGCATATTGCAGTTTGAAATTAAAAAAAATACTTAGAATGCCAGGGTCTTTGTTTTTAACCCATCATGGCATGCATACAATTTTCCTGCCAAATATTCAGTACCTGGGAATAAAGGATATAGATTGCAATAATTCTGGTAGTTGAAGCCCCACAACGCATACAATTCACTCACAAAACTGACCCCCTTTTACATATACATACTATATATATATGTATATATAATTATACATGTATATACCAAAATTGGTTCAGTCTTTTTCAGAAATGAAGTTTAAAAATCCCTTAAAAATACTATAGTCAACTACAGTTTACAATAGTTAACTATAGTTTACTAAAGTATGAAAGTTATTAGTCCCCTACCGGTGAAACCGGAGGGGACTATAGGTTTCCTCTGAGTCTGTTCGTCCGTCCGTCTGTCTGTCTGTCTGTCTGTCCGTCTGTCCCTCTGTCTGTCTGTCAGTCTGTCCCACTTAGTTTTCCGCACTTTTTTCCTAAACGCTTGCAGATATTGAGCTGATTTTTCGTATGTGAGTGCATCTTGATGAGTTACAGATCAAGTTTGCATTTCGTTCCGCTTCATTGATTTTTGACGGAATTACGGCCTTTTCAATTTTTAGGGGTTTTCCGCAATTTTCTTCTAAACGCTTGCAGATATTGAGCTGATTTTTGGCATGTGACTTAACCTTGATAAGTTATAGATCAAGTTTGCATTTCGTCCTGCTTCAATGATTTTTGACTGAATTATGGCATTTTCAATTTCTAACGGGAACCAGATTACACTTGCCGGTAGGGGACTAGTATTGCTAATGCAATACTCTCAGAATGCTTGTTAATATAGTAAATCAAAGTATTTACTGTAGTAAATCAAAGTATTTTACTAGGGATTTCAGATTGTTATATTTTATGTTCTGCAATTCATACATAAACATTTTATATTTCAAATGGAACTATCACTTGTATATTCACATATTATTTTTAAAATTTTACACCACTGTTATTGAATTTAAGAGATTTTAAGCTTTAAAATCTTTAAAAAAAAGTTCCAGTGTAAAGCTTCATTGTATATCAAAGTATCATGCTTTTCCTAAAGTTAACTATAGTAAACTATGGTTTAACTATACTAATTTTTTTTGTTGTTCTAAAGTTTTCAGTCGATACACGGGAACAAACAGCAACATTCAGGTGACTAACAAGCAACACAACTTTTAAAAAGACAACTTAAAAAAGAAACATTTTTTAATCAACCTGATTGAAGTTTAATATTAACCTATTAAATAACATCCATTTCATTTTAATGCACTCTCAGTGATTAAATTGTCACAAATTTTTCAGGATTATGGATTTACCCCCTATGATCTTTAAATGATTAAAACCCACGTAATTTTTTTTAGTTTTAAAATTCTTCATACATCTTCTTCGTAGGAACTTTATTTGTTGTGGGAAACGTTTTAGTCTTGTGTACCTTTTATAAGATTCATTAACGTAAACGTTTTCTGTTGAAGTTTGCAGTAAGTGAAGATAAATGCTTCTCCACTTCTTCTTTCTTTTGCTGCTCTGCCAAATAACGGTAAAGCAATATATGTTTGCCAAAATAGAACAATAGTGAAAGATTACATTGCATTCTCAGCTGTATTTTCTTTCCCCCAAAATTTACACATTTAAAACTAAAGTTAAAGATCGAGCTAATTTGTTACTTCTTATTGATCTTAAGACACCAAAAGAAAAGTTAAAGAGACAACTTCTAGCTGGTCTTGTTTAACTTGACTATGCATTTCGTCATATTTCATGTTTTACCCCAATTTATTTATGTTTTGAAACGAGAGCGTTTAAGTGCAATCTTTATACACGTTTCTCTTTCATTCATCTTCGACTGGAGAAAAAAACCTTTTCCCGAAGGCGGACTTCACTAGTATTTGATACAAATTCTACATATCTGACCTTTATTTTCGTTTCGTCCATATCATGGCCCCTTACTTTCAAAATTACGTCTCATCAAATTATACAGTCTACACTGCCTGTTGCCGACAATGGCTATATCAGGACGGAACGGGATATCCCTATAATCTTATAAAATTAATAAAAGGACAAGGAAATTAGGAAAATTCCAATTAAAACACCATTACATTTCATTTCGCGGTAGACTCAACACGATATCTGGTCTTGTGATTAATTCACCTCTCTAATTTAATTTTCCTCCCTATCAGTCGTTT